CTTGACTGCTCATATCGGAGAAAATTGGTCTTTATTCTCGTTGAACAGTTCTTCAGCATCTGAATGCATTGAAATATGATTGAAAGGGATGAAATAATGATCAAAACCAATATTCTAGATGCAGTTAACTGAAGAAATGGTGTCGAAGTTATGACCAATGAAAAAAAATTGCAGTTTAATTCTTCAAGAAATTTCTTCTCCCTCTCATTTTTCCTGTCAACGTGATTTGATGTCTTCAATATGTCAATATATGAAATAGAAAAAACAAGGATAGGTTCCTTTCATTATATTTTCTGCTCCTTTTGAAAACTGCATCCCCCGCATGTTTGTTAGCAAATGCCTGAAATTTGTCTCCACAATCCAGACACAGTAGTGTAATGCTTTTCAAGCCTTTACCCTGTTTCATCCTAGGGTGTCATTTTCTCAGATGATCAGTTATAATATATAGAAATTTCTTTGCCAAGACACTTGAGGCAATACTTAAGGAACTTACATGCAGAAAGACGCTAATTGGGTGTCGCCCACAAATGAATGGTGTTATCAAACTCCGACAGATACTGTTTGAATGCATCTGGATTTCCAGTTTCTATTAAATCCATTCCCATCCTGTCCAAAGCCTCAACTCGACTACTTGTTCAGAGCTATCGACAATTTGACAAATTTCAAACGAATGCACTCTAAGTCACAGCTTCAAGAATGCACAGTAAAAAAAATAGTGAATTGTTGGAAAGAGCTAACCTTTACGTTGTTGATAAACGTGAGTCGCTAAAACCTCAGCTTGTTGTGATAAACGCCAGCTTCAAGTTTTCCAAAAATGGGCCGCCTAGGCGGGTCCTTTTTATTTTATTTTCTATATAGTATAGCCGCGCGGCTATACTCTTGAAATAATATATTTCAGTATGGCCGTTCGGCTATACTCTTGAAATAATATATTTCTATACTCTTGAAATAATATATTTCCGTATGGCCGTTGGGCGCCAGGCGGTCTCTTTTTTTATTTAAGAAATAGTATAGCCGTGGGGCTATACTAGGTATTTTTTAATAATAAAAATAGTATAGCCACCCGGCTATACGCTTACCGTGGTCATGTTTTCATAAATATTTTTTTATAAATAGTGTAGCCGATCGGCTATACGCTTTACATAAGACACACTACCAGATTTTTACAGAGTGCATCTAATCCTTTAACCCAACTACCAAGACTACAACCAAATATTTACATGGAGAACGCATCTAGCATAGTCCCTGAATATGGGCTATGTTTCTTCAACCACCACAACTACAACCAAACACACAGAATATAGATTGCTTTCAAAAATAAGAACACAAAAAAAATTTGAAAGCATAAGCAAAAGCATGCCATGTCCCAAAATCCTATGTGCCGTATCAAATACAAAATGCTTCTCTACATGTCTTTAACAGATGAATGCATCCCTCCTTCAAGAACTATGCCACTGAAGTAAACTCATGAACATAGACAATCTCATTGTTCCGATCAGGTAGGTCCTAAAAATGTAGGAGCTAAAAGAAAGCTAATATGTTTGATAGTAGTAGTGGGAAATCACTTCAAAAGCCTGAAGACATGGATTCATACCATTGTTATCTAGCCATAAATGGAGGAAGCTTGCTGCAGTTTTGTGAGGAGACATGAGGGAGAGACACACGAAGTGAAGCCAAAGTCAAGGAAGTAGGCCAAAAATAATGAAGATATTTGAAAATGATGGGCTACTAATGGTGAGCTACTTGATTATTATATAATTCAAGGCTCTCTTCTTTGGCTATAAATAAAAGCTTGGAGCAAAGAAGCAAAGAAGCAAAGAGGAGATACAAGGGAAAGAAAAGGAAAGAAAGAGAGAAAGAGAGAGAGAGAGAGAAAGTGTAGAGAAAGAGAACAAGGATGGAAAGGAAATAATTGAGAGCTAATAACTCTCTTAAAATTGTTCTTCACCTTTCTTAGTTCTCATTTATTTCATGTATTTTAGTTTCTTTGTTTTGTTTTAAATATTAATTTTGTCTAGCTAAAATACTTAACTAAGGTTGGATGAAACACCATTATTAAATAAAGTTCTAGTTTTATTTTCAATTCTCAAATATTGTGGTGTTCAATGATATATAATTTTCACTTCACATGATTAATAGATTAATTTTCTTTTCACCACTTCTATCATGTATTTGTGGTAGTTAAGACTTTGGATTAATCTATTATTTCATCCTTGGTTTATATTTCTAGTTTACAAATTTCTTTGATCTTTTGTTATTCAAATAAACTTGTTCACATAGGATGCTTAGGAAACTTTGATCCTTTGTAGTTAAATAATTTTGTTTACATATGATGCTTAGAATTTGTAATTATGAAGGGAAGGAAAATTTACTTATAATATAAATTACAAGCTTAATTGACAAATCTTGATAAAGCAGTAGATTGATTTCTAGATTGCTACTCCTTGGGAATTGAAAGATAAATAATTAGGATCTTATGAAGTAATGGTGTGGATTCTAATACCTTAGTTATTTTTTCACATAAATTTAATCTTAATTTCAGTTTATTGTCATTTCCATATTTGTTTTATGCTTTATTAAACTTTCTTTATCAACAAACAAATCACCATTTGAATCAACTAGGTTGGCAATGAAATTAACTTGAGTTTAATTAGTTTTCTATCTTTTCATGCAATCCCTTGGGTACGACCTCGCTCTTACACGCTTATGCTATATTCGATTCGTGCGCTTGCGAGTTTATAAATTTAAAAAAAAACACCTCTTATGGTGACAACATTATAATCTACTTCTTTAATTTAATATATGTAATTAAGTAACATCTTAGCCTTTTTGAATGGCATTAATTAGCAAATATTATTTAATATAAAAAAATTAAAGAAAAAGTCCACAAAATAATTAATTTCTATTTATTAAGTTTTTTGTGAAATTGTTTGGGTATCCTAATTAAATTTTCTCATAGCCCAAGAGCCCAATCCATTACTATTAGGCCATTAATCGGGTCTCTATTGTCTCCCTTAGATTTTTTACTTTAACAGAGTTATTACCCGTATAAAGATTTTAGCATTTTCACGTTTAATAATATATTATACACGTATGCACGTATTTCTCATGTTTAATACATGTATTTTTTATAAAAATTTCAATAAGACACACAAAATTCACATATTATACACATAATTCTCACATATTATTGATGAAAAATAATATATATTTTTTTAAAGGTCTAGCCGTACGGCTATACTTAGTTATTTCCCTTTTTTAAAAAATAGTATAGCCGTATGGCTATACTCATTTTTTCTTTTTTCTTTTTATAAGAAAATAGTATAGCCCTCCATTCGGCTTTACTTTTTGACACATGGCGTATAGTCAGTGGGCGGATCTATATATATTTATAAATAGTATAGTTGTACGGCTATACTAGATTTTTTTGAATTTTTTTAAGAAATAGTATAGCCGGTGGCTATGCTCGTTTTTTCTAATTTCTTTTAAAAATAGTATCGCCTCCCAACTTTACTTGTTTGACACGTGGCTCTATGTGCTAGGCGTGTCCATTTTTTATATACACAAATAGTATAGACGCACGGCTATACAGTTTAAAAAGAAAATTTAATCATGGAAATTTCATTTGCAAATACTTGTGCCGACGAACTTTAATTTTTTTTTAATTAAAAATATAAATTAGTTTCTTTACTTCTGTTTTTTGACCTACTTCTTCAATTTAGTATATGTAATTAAGTAATATCTTAGTCTTTTTTAATTACTTTAATTAGTAACTAGCCCTTTCACACATGTGCCAATTGATTTTATTTTTTATTTTATTTTTAGAATTAAGAAAATATAACATGAGTAATTATATTCCATAAATGTATGACCTATTATCTGTTTTTGTTTTTATTTTTATTTTTTTAATATGAAAAAATATGAATTTATCATGTTATCCTCATTTAATTAATAATTTCAATTCTTAATATTTGAATTAATCAAGGGCATTTTCTGGTAATTTGAATGTTTCACCATTCTCTGCCTTTTGCTTTATATATATATATATATTATATTTTAAAAATTAAAGAAAAAGTACACAAAATAATTAATTTCTATGTAAAAGGTCTTTTGTGAAATCGTTTGGGTGTCCTAATTAAATTTCCCCAAGGCCCATGTCTTTGATTAATATAATTATTATTAATCAAAGCCAAATCCAAAGCCAAGCCTATAGCCAAGCCAAGCCCATTAGCCCAACTCTCCAATGTTCACTACAATTACAAAACCATCATAGTGCTTTGTTTATAAACACCTTTATAAGAGTGGATTTTCTAAGTGGGATTTTCACAAAGGCACCTCAAAAGATAGGCCTACAAAGAAATCTATATTTTTATTGTTGGTGCAATGTGAAAATATATTTAAAGCCCTTCAAGGTCTCCGTGATGCATCTGTAAATGCCCTTTAAGGTCTTGCATCTATCAACCCTGATATTATTTGGCTTCTTATAGCTGATGTTTACTATTCTCTAAAGAAAAAAGACATGCCTTCACCCCCCACATCAGACATAAATCTTACAAATTCTGCCCCCATCCTCATCTCCAAAAGAGCACCTTTATGTGCAGTATGGAGGGCAGAGTTGTGGTTTTGAGGTTGACTTCCATTATGTAGAAACTGTTTTCAAGAAACTGCACGCAATCTAGTTTCTGTTAACCATATACACGCTTGACTTGATCATTAAATGATAGACGCCTCCGTACAAGAAGAAAGGGAATATAATAAGCCAACTAATATTAGAGCCAAACGGCTCAAAGGAAATCATAAATAATATCATGCAAAGAAAGAACAAAGATAAGCATTTTCAGATTCCGAAGTGTTAAAATCCATGAAAGAACAACTTGAACCAGCAAAAACAAAACTATTGCATCAGATTGAAAAACCAACGGCAACTTCAAGTTGAGAATCATGCAACACGAATCATACCTCAATACCTAGCTATGCTTCTCGTCATCCACAGTTGAAAGTCACCCAAGGTAGCTACATTTGAAATTTGGTCCAACTCTTCTCTTTCTACTCGAAGAAAAGGAGGGGGCCCATACTTCAAATATTGCTAGCCCGGTGAGACACCTTGCTCCAGAGACAACATTCCTCTTGTTCAACATTTTATAGTGAAGTTTATTTTTGAAATTCTGTAAACATAGCAATTATATATATATTTTTTTTATACCAACAAAGACAACATTCCCCTTGTTCATAAGTTTCCACCAAAACAGCAGGATGCACAAGTGGACGCAAATGGGCAGCTTCCCTTGCAAGATCAACTTGAGACATCATCAAAACTGCAAACTGCTGTACACTCTCATCCAATCTCCACAACTTTAAAGCAGGAATGCAGTTCGAAAGTTTTACTACCAGATTGATTATAACAAAATCTCTCCTAATCGATTCACCAACACCAGGATGCCTAACATTTATGGCAACTACTATGAGGCTTCACATGTTGACCAGGGTACCTAAATCTTAAAGTAGCTCTCAATCGATGCACTTGAGCAATACTTCCAGATGCTACAGGTTTATCTTCAAAATTATCAAAAATCTTAGGGAGCTTGAGGCCAAACGCTGGTTCGATAGTTTTCTTGGTGTAGGCAAAGCTATGTTCAGGAGCTTTGAGAGCTTGGTGCATGCATAAATCTCTTAGGAAGAGAGATTTATGCAAATTTGATGATTCAATCGCAGAAAGATATGGAAATTTGATTACATTGTTTTCAATGTGGGATTTTATAGTCCCGAGTCCTAACTGGAGGAGGAAGCACTGCGAAGCTGGTGGCTAAGCACCGGCCAGGCATGCCAATTTTGTATGTGCTAGCTGTTGCCTGAGAAAATACAGGGGTGTTTTACCTCTTCTCAGAATCTTAGCTCTAGCTCCATAAGAGCTTCTCATGCTGAGTCCATATAAGAGATCATACGCTTTGCCATTGAATTTGCAAAGTCCATTTACTTTAAGCATTATTAATTAATGTGGTTCTATTAACCAATGTTTTGAAAGGCGAGGCGTTATATGCCAATGCCTAATATGTAAAATAAGAATATAATTTTACCTAATTTACATAAGGTCAAAGCCTAAAAAATAGGATGTAATTTTACAGCCACGCAACGGAAAAACCTCAAAATTACAAAACTATTATTAAATGCTGTTAAATTTTATTATTTCATTTGTCCTAAAGCACAATAACTGAAACTGCACCATCAAACTCAATAAATGACAGTTGTCCTAAACCAATGCCAAAATTACACAAATTGTACAAATATAGGCCTTTACAAACACACATGAGGTTTACTTACTGTATGGGTGGAAATATGAAAAGAAAACATAAACTAGCTGCAAATTGAAGCATGTCATTTTCTTTTTGATAGAAAATATATAATTCACTACATTCAAAAATCACATTGTAAAAATTCTCCCTTCCCTTCCAATGCCAATCCTGGCATTGGAGCTAGTATTTTCCATCATGGCTAATTAGTTCCAACTTCTAACCAAGCAAACCATCTAAAGAGTTTGACTGGTATATATGAACCAGACAAGAAACAAAAGAGTTTTAACTTGGAAAATTAGTTTAATTAACATAAAGATGGGTACTCAACACAAGTTCAATCAAGGAACATCAATGAATTGATAAAGTTTAGGCCCATTATTTCATCCTCAAACTAGAAGCCATTAGTATATATATTATACATTATGTGGGAAGTGAGACAAACCAACCTTTGATTTTAAAGATCCTCTGTAGATAACTAATTTTGAAGTCAATGTCAATTGACTTAACCTCTAATGGTCTATGTTTTGTCAAAGTTTCTGATACCCGAAACAGTAGCCACATTATCTGTAGAAACATTTTCAAGCTAGGAGAGTCACGAGAAGGCACACCTAAATTTATATATTTGGCCTTTTATATACTGCAAGATGCCAAGTGATAGGAATACAAAGTTAATAAATCATCATAGATTAAGGGAAAAGTTCAAAAGAGATAGCCAATTAAACAGAATTAATACCAGACATTAAGGATGCAAGTGAGAAGGCCTTTTCACCTCCTGCCATACGCACAACCACTGTAATACCTTTATGGTCATCGAAGGTGCAGCAGTTCCAAATTTCATTGTCCACAAATGCATATTAATTTCACAGTGATTTTTTTATCAAAGGCAACAAAGCAGGATCCACTTCATCTTTCGACAGTAAATTAACTATCAACTCCATTGTTGATGCGTCTGCAGAAAAACCCTTCTCTACCATTGTTTGAATAAGCACCATCGCCCTTGATGTCTGTTTATTATGGATGAACCCTCGGATAATTTTGTTAAAGGTCCAACCATCAGGAGAACAGCCTTTCTCTTCCATTTGGATAAGCAAATTTTCTGCTTCACTTGTTAGGCCTGCGAAACAGAGTCCACTGATAGTTATAGTGTATGTCCTCACATTAGGTTGAAGTCCTTTTGATGATAAACCATAAAACAGATCCCTTGCAGATTCAATTTTTCCAGCTATGCACAAACCTTCAATAAGAATATTGTAAATCACAATATTAATATCCAACTTCTTCGCTTCCATCTCTCCAAACAATTGCATTGCCCTAGAAAGTTGTTGGTTTTTACACAGGCCATCCAGTAAAATAGAATAAGTCTGAACATCTGGAAGCTGGCCACAAGCTTGCATCTCGGAGAACAACTTTTGTGCATCCTGTATTCTACCTGCTTTCCCAAAACCATCCAGAAGAGTGTTATAGGTAATGTTATCTGCAACTAGTCCCTTATGAGACATATCCAGAAAAAGCATCATGGCCTCATCAATCTTTTTATTCTTACAATATCCATTTATCAATGTGCTGTAACTAACAACATTAACCATGGAACCCTTGCTAAGCATTAGTTCAAAAACATTTTGTGCCTTGCCTATTTCTCCTCGCAAACAGTAACCATCCATTAGTGAATTGTATGTAACTGTATTAGGTTCGATATCTCTTTGAACCATCACCTCAACCACGCCTTCTGCTTCCACAACCATTCCCTCCTTACAAAGTGCGTCTACCAAGACGTTGAACATTAACACATCTGGAAATATATTTTTACTCGCCATTTCATTCAACAACCTTGTAGCTTCTTTCCACTCGCCTAATTTGCAAACTCCATTCATCAAAGAGTTATAGGTAATGACATCTGGGGCAATACCCTTGCTCATCATTTCTGAGAAGAGGTTTAATGCATCGTCAACTAGTGTATCCTTACAAAGACTGTCGATGATTGTGCTATAGACAACTAGGTCAGGCTTGCAAGCTCCTTCCTCCATCTTCCTAAGCAACTGAATAGCAGCACTGTTGTTACCTTTCATGCAAAAGCCCTTTACTAGTGTGCCATAAGTAACCACATCAGGCTGACAATTACCTCCCCTCATCATCTTGTGGAGAAGGGTTGCCGCCTCCGCCACTCTATTCTCAAGAAGAAAGCCGTTGATTAGAGTGGTGAAGGTAAAGACATCTGGTTCAAGACCAAGTTTGAAGAAATTTCCCAATACAGATAAACTAAACCCCATTTGGTTTAGATGACAATAACAATTTATGAGAATGTTTAGAGTATAAACATCGGGTCCAATTCCCGACACATCCATTTGGTTATACAAGGAGATGACGGAAGAATAATGTTTCAATTTCGCAACTTGACCCAATATTTGATTGAAACGAACAACTGAAGGCGGAGGACGCATTTGAAGCATTCTATCAAACACATTGAAAGCATCCTCAACAGTTGTGATTTTGGGTGAGTTTCTCACTGGCTGCTCTAGTTGGGTTCTTGTAGATTTGATTGGTTTAGAAGGTTGAGAGTGAAGGAAAGCAAAGTAATCGTTGGCGAAAACAACAACAGTGGAGTTAGAGTGAAGACAACCCATACCTCTCCATCTCCTGCTGGTGCAATAAGAAGAATAAGAAGAAGAAGCAGCTATATTCCGCATCATCATCTTCAGCATCTCAGTGAGTCAGTGAGTCTCAGCCAACCTTCAACATTTGGGAAGCGAGACCAAATCTCGAAAGAGAGCGGCGGAGCTCTCAAGTGCGTCGACTAAAACTTTGTTTCGATGAGTTTCGAATTAGATTTCCTTTCTAATTGCTATGTCGGGAAAGGGTTGGGCTTTTCTTTTTGGGAGTTTCACTAAAACACCCAAAATAGAGGTTGAAATTATAAAAAAACCCAACACCCAAAACACTTTATAAACACACCCAAAACCCATCATTACACACACTCAAAACCCATTTATAAACACACCCAAAAAGTTGACTTTGGGGTTGATTTTGGGTGTGTTTCTATGTTTAAATAGTGCTTGGGTTTTTTTATAAATACATGTCTAGGATTGGGTTTATTTATAAATTTGTATTTCTTTTTCGTCAATTTTTACAAAAAATTTATTTCAGTGGGCTTCGGACTTATTTTTAATCTATATATATAAAGCAAAATGCAAAGAACAGTGAAACATTCAAAATACCATAAAATACTATAGGATAAGGCAAAAATTAGGAATTGAAATTATTAATTAAATGAGGATAATATGGTAAATTCACACTTTTCATATTTTAAAAATTAAAATTAAAAGAAAAATCAGATAATATATCATATTTTTATGAAACACAATTACCCATTATCTTTTTTAATTATTATTATAAAAAATAAAAATAAAAAAATAAAAAACCAATTGGCCAAGGGGCTAGTTATTTTTATTTCATGGCTTTGTACTTTTTAAATATATTCGAATATTTTAATGGTATAGCCGGACGACTATACCTCCCCCCTTTTTTTCCAGAAGCACTAATATATGAGACGCAATACATAGATTCTACAAACTTTGACATTATGGTAAGAGTAATGCTACACTTACCACATTATTATCCCACATTTCTATACTACATGATGTGGCATGTCCATATCATATGTCACATTAATTAAATAAATAAAGTGTATTTTAATAAATGGAATTAGAAAAATAGAAACTAGTATTTTACATGATGTGGTATGTACACATCAGCTGCCACATCATGTGGTATAAAATTGTGGTATAAAAAATGTGGTAAGACTAGTATTATTCTTATGGTAAAGTTCCCTGCAAAACAATGTTCAACAACAATATGGTATCATCACTATCCTTGTAAACGGCTTTCCATCCTTTCTCCACGCCAGTCAAAAACCCATTCCTATACACAACCAACTCACAAATCAAATAATCGTTTCTCCACACCAGTCAAAAGCCCTGCTGATGCTACATTCTGAAAATGAGGTTGATTTCAGATACCTCATTGATTTTAAAAATATTCCTTCATTTCTGAATATGAAAGGGTTCAAATAAGGCTAAGAACAATAAAGTCCAGTGGCCCAAATGCTTCAACTGTTTTTTCAGAAAGGCTTAAACCAGATTGGTTCATGAAATGGTTTTGGGAATCTCACATGTAAAATCAACAACCTCAAATCCACAATCATCTGTCATAATAAGAGCACCAAATTTTACAACATCAAAATTCCACATCACTTTTCAAATTCATGTACCCTTTATACTTTCAAAATCGTAGGCTTCCAAACTTTACCTCCTCCTCTAAAAACAAAGTATGAGAAAACATATACTTGTATTCAATGGAACGACGGCGTTCCTCACCTTCTCAGTTGTGACGGAACGACGACTTGTGGGCTTTGTGTATGATATCATAAATTATGTAGGACTTGAAAGGCTTGGGCCATGCATAGCACACAAGCCCAAAGCGCTGAACAAGGCCCTCATCTAAGCAACACTTAAATTAAGTTAGCCCAGTGTGAGCCCAAAAGCTCTGCCCGCCAGGAAGGTTAGGTTGGGCTTAAAAAGGAAAGCCCAACATGACTTAACCTTAGACAACAAGTCTCCAGTTAATCAATCCAAATCATCAACATCTTCTCCTTATTCATTAGAGCATTTCCACCGGGAGGCCACAGTCCAGGCAAGAGGCCTCTTGGGCCCCAAATATGTTTCCAGCCCCAAGTCTTACCAGGGCAAGAGCTGGGCTCCACCAACCTGGGCAGCTCAAAGGCAAGACTTGTCTAACTTGCTGCCTAGGCAAGCTGACCTAATGCTGACATCATTGTGACATCAGCAAACAAAAAATTGAAAAATAAATTCAGATTTTTTATTTTTTTAATATAATTACCTAGCCATACTCATATGAATAGTGGTTGCTCTTGGGTTGCCATGGCAATAGGTGGAAAACTAACAAAAAAATTGCTAAGGGAGGGCATTATTCATGTGAATAGTAACAACCATTACCTCCCCTTACCTTTTTCCATGGCAAATGGGTTACAGCAAGAACTCATAATTATCACACTCATGCAATTCGAGTAAATATCCACATGTTTCCAAGCCAACCGGCTAATTGACTTGATGTGTAGGTTGATGAGTCTTAACATAACCAATTAACGTTCAACATGTAGCCTCTTACAGAGTTAAAGCAGCCAACACAAAGCATTATATAAACCATTCTACATCCTTTGGAGAAGGTACTATTCCTCGAACTAAGAAACTCTATCTTTATTTCATAACGCTCATTTGACTTAAGCATCACCACACTGGTATGTTTAAGGGCTGACTTTGTCTTTCTTTTCTTAATTTTAGGGTACAAAGTCTTTCCAAACTAATGAAGAAATTCATTCCCCACAATTATATTTGTCCTTGGTGATTTGATTGAGAATTTTCTTAAACGAGCTTTGGCCCTTAAGGGTTACTATGATTTAATGAGAAAAGTTATTATACTTATGGCCAACTGATTTTGTGTGATAAAACATCTAATTTTGAATTGTGATGTTTATTTCCAAAATGAGAATCATAGTATCTCAAACTCCATTGAATGCGCTAGCACATTAATGTCATACTCAAAAAAGCTAGTCACCACTAGGCTTGTGAAATTGTTTATGTAACTTAGACCATCCACAATCATGCTCCCTATTTCTTAGCTAAAATTTAGCTAAAAACACAACAACAAAAAAACTATTTTAGGAGCTCTCTAAAAAATTTCAACTCCAACGATACTCCATAATTTGGAGAGTCATAAATGCTTTACTTCTTTTTAAATTTAATTCCTGATTTGCAATAAAATGTTCATATTCAAATACTGAATAGTCCCAAATAATAAACTACAAAAACAATTCTATGGTTTTTGTGTTTTGCAAAATACCTACAAGGAAAAGAACAAAAAAAAAGGGTGTTTGTGTGCTGCTAAATACATATATTGAAAAGAATTGGAAAAAAAAAATTTACTTGTGCTTTGCAAAGCAGCTATAGCAAAAAGAAGAGAAAAGATGGTGCATGACGTAGGTAGTGTGCAATAGAAAGGTGATTAAAAATATAAAATGCAAAAAAAAAACTATATAATTAAAGAAATCATTAAATAATTGTTTTAAAATTGTTGAGGCCCAAAAAATTCAGGGTTGGGCCCAAATAAATTCTTGGCCCAATGCGACACCTTATTAAGAAAATACCCGATTCGGAGCATGCGGAATTCGTCATGCATGCTTTCACGAGCCACGACCACGTGTCATGCCAAATAAATATGCAATTTATCATGCTAAGAATTAAAATGAGCCTATAAAAGGCATTGGCTCTACAAGCTCATGCTAATTATTCTGTCAAGCATTATGTCTCTTTTCAAAGACTATAAAATTCAAGCACACCAATTGACATGTCATGCCAAGTAGGAAATCATTATTTCACACATAGCCACACTACAAGATTAAGTGGGCCCAAGCCACCCAAATGCCCGAGGCTTGCTTGAGTGGGTTGTGGTATGGATGGTAACGAGCTTTCATGAGGCCCATTGATGAGCCAAGAAATGGAAGTTTTGGGCTACTTGGGAGTCCCAAAACTTAAGCCCATTTCTTGAGCCCAAACACATGGGTTAACATGAGAGAGGGGAGAAAATGATCCAATGCCTTAGGAGGATATCTAATAGTATGCTATAGCACTTAAACAAAGCCAGCATCAATAAAATGCCCAAAATTAAATAGGCTATTCCCAACAGCTTGACGAAAACCCATTAAGCGCTAGAAATAACTTGTTGACAGCCCAATATTGCACACAAGCCTAGCCTAGCAACTTGTAGAAAAGCTGTCACCGTGCTCCACCCTTGTTAGGACTCCAAGATGGTCAAATAGGAAGCCATGACAGAGACCAACGGAAACCCATGAGTGTAGGAAGAATACCCATCGGACAAAAGCCTCTATCCATCTTCTTTTCCACTACAAGCTCGGTCTTGAAAAACCAGAGAGAAAGCAGGTGGCGCTTCACCCTTATTGAGAAGACCAGCTGTGTCAAAACCTTCGAACCACAAAGGGCTCCTTACCCATGCGCCTTGGATAGGAAATTGCATCAAATAGGATCAAGTGGGAAGGAGCAACGAAAAAGGAGAAGAAGGTTATATGAAATTAGGGATTCTTTGTGCATATAAATGGGAGTTTCTTCTACCTAGCAAAATCATCATCCAGAGCCTGACCAAGCTTTGTCAAGCAAACTGGGAATTTTACTCAAGCCACCCAATTTTCGCCTTTAGTTGTTTCATCTTCCTGTTAGAAAGAAATCCTCCTAATTTTCCTCTGCCCTACTCCAAACCTTCGTTCTCTGTAAGAAATCCGTGCTTCTCTCTCTCTCTCTCTCTCTCTCTCTCTCAAATTGCTAAACTTGTCAAAGCTTAGCTCCCATGCCACAAACTCCTCAAGCTAAGTCATTTATCGATTTGTTGTGTCTTTTGACTATTAGTGAAGATGACCTAAAAGAGTTTTTCTAAAGTTTCATTAGACTCTTCAAAAACTCTTTTGGGAGCTTGGTTCTCGAACTCAGGCACTTGGGGAATTTTTGTTTGTTTCCTTCTTACGGCAACCCAAGCCCATTCGTCAGGCTGCTGGAACAAAAAGAGTCTTACAAAAATCATAATAAAATATAGTAGCATTTAATTATAGGGAGTCAATAGGAGCCCTTTCTCTCTCCTCATATTTAGGAGCTCCTAGAGGTCTACTTATTTTAGGAGCTGGAGAATGAGCATGATTGGAGGTGGATTTTTTCAATTCCTTACTAAATTTTAACTAAGGATGTGGTTTAAGGAGCCCATTGTGGATGCTCTTAAAACTAAACTGTGTTGCCTTTTGAACTATTGATGTTAATTTACTTTTAAATTATTTGTTTAAACTAATTAAGGACTTTTTGAAACAAAACGATAGTATTTATTGAAGAAATAGAATATAGTACAAAGCCACAAAAGTGTCGAAATGGGTACATCTCCAATGACCAAATGAATTGATATGAAGAGAATTATGCTTAAACCAACAATATTCAAACCCCTGATTCAGCGACCTGAAGCACTTGTACTCAGAATAACAATATAAATCCACCGTGCAAAGACAGAAACAACTTATTTGTATCGCAGTGGAAAGCAAAATACAAACCAAGAAACTCATAATGAGTAATAGACTAAAACAGACAAAGAAAATTAGGATCACCGCTTCACATCCTCTCTGGCACCCAAAGAGATCCAAAGTATCATACCGGCTAAACCCTTAGTGCCGCATCTGCTAAACCTCAACCCACACAAACCGTTAATTTCCATTATTGTAACTCCAAATTCTGAACATGAGCCAAAACCATCTGTATGTGAGCCAAAAATGACAACTAAATCATGGCGACAATGGTGTTTCACGATGGCTTCTTCAACAATCTCCAAGACACACAAGAGTTCCATCAAAATCACCCAAGTTGACAAAAACCAATTGTTAGTCCTCAAGAAAAGTATAGATTTGGAATATACCTATATAGGAACTCCTGAATTTGCAAAAAAAACTAAACCGAAACCAAACCAAAACACCTGCAAAAATAAAAGAACTACACAAAATAAAGCAAAAAAGGAATCTAAGGGAAAAAAAATTTGAGGGAGGGGATGGCGATAAAGGGAAATAAGGGAGGGAATGGGAAGCCATGGAAGGAAAAACAAATCAACTCGCAATCGTGGGGTTCAGATGGAAGAGAGAGGAGGAAGAGAGGAGGAAGAGAGGAGGTAAAGGGAGGGGAGATGGTGGGGGGGAGGAGGGGCATAGACTACCTCCCCCTGGTGCGGCGCTGAAGGAAAGGTGTGGATGCTAGGGTTTCTCTGGATGAATATTTTCAAATATTATATGATTAAGGTAAGTGAGTGATTACCATAAAATATATATGAAAACAATTGAGGACTTAATATATATGAAAATAATCAAGTAGTTATTACCATCAAATTTTTCGAGTTTAAGAGCATCCATAATGAGCTCTCTAAACCACCTCATTAGACAAATTTTATGGAGAAATTGGAAAAACACAACTCCAACTATACTCTTTATCCACCTCTTAAAGTAGGAGCTCCTAAATCTAAGGAGAGAGAAAGGATTCCTAGTAGCTCTAATGTTGCTTTATTTTATGCATATTTTAAACTTTTAATTAATGCAAACTATTTTTTTATATTATTGTGTATAGAGATAGACTAATTATATTGAATTAAAAAATAATTATAGTATTTATGACTCTCTAAACTAAGGAGTATGATTGGAGTTCAAATTTTATATAGAGCTCCTAAAATAACTTTTGTATATTTTTAGCTAAATTTTAACTAAAAAAATAGGTAGCATAATTGTAAAAAAAAGCAAAATTAAAATTACAATTCGGTATGGATGGGAAAATAGAAAAAGTAGGTATCAGTAATAGTGTGATAATTATTGTGAAAAAGAAACCTAAGAGTTGTCCAAATAAAGAGATGAAATATAAACCAAGATTGAAGAGAAATTATTATAAAAGCAACACAACCATTTATGTTTCAAATGTTTGGAGCTTGGACTTTTGAAGGAACCCAAATCCTTGAGTTGGCATTGCGATGTGTTCTTGTAATGGATGAGAGATGGAATTTAATATGAAACTAAGCACAGAGCGCGAAAAAGAAAGTATAAGGGGAACATGTATTGCAATTAATTCCCAATACATTGAGAATTCGGGCTGACTCACATGGTTTGCCCAAATGTCATGATCTTGATGAGTTTGCATGCATCTTATCTGGCCTTACGCCTTAGATTAAGGTTTTATCATTGGGAACTATGGATATAGGTTTTCAAATCTCATATACAAAATAGGGTTCTAAACCTAAACCTACTTCTAACAGAAATATTTGGTGCATGAATGTGCATTATTATCATATTTTTTAATACAAGTGATAATTTAAATTACTCTAAATTAATCTAATTTATAGGAAGGGGGCTTCAAATTTAGTTGTAAGAAGGACCGGCTCATTGTTGTAGCCAACTGGTGTAAGCCACAATTGCATTATATAATAATATTATTTTATTTAAATTGGAAGGAAAAATAATAGCACAATCCCATTGTCGTGATGAACCCAAATAATAGCACAATCCCATTGTCATGGGAAGCACATAACTTATTCTTACTCGTACTCCAATTGTGGATGAACAATGGATTATTTATTTATTTACAAGGAGAACAATACTTGTGAACCATCATAGATCAAATGCCAATTAGCTCCAACTATTAAGACTTTCAAAGTGCACACATTTTTTTGCTTTTTTTATTACACATGCGATGCATGATCAAATGCAAAGTGAATGAAACTATGAATTACTAAAATAGATTATTGTGTTTTGTAGTTTGTATTTGTAACCATAAACAAAGGTTACAATTATGTTTAGTTTGTAAATATATTTTCTATTATATTTTAGCGTTCTTAATCTATATATATATATATATATATAAAGCAAAAGACAAAGAATGACGTGAAACATTCAAAATACCAGAAAATACTCTTGGTTAATTCAAATATTAATAATTGAAATTATTAATTAAATGAAGATAATATGGTAAATTCACTTTTTTCATATTAAAAAAATTTAAAAAACAAAAAATCTGATAATATATCATACTTTTATGGAACATAACTACCCATTTTATCTTTTCTTAATTCTAAAAAAAAACAAAAAAACCAACATGTGCCAAGGGGCCAGTAATCTTTTATATAAAGAGAATGATGAAACATTCAAAATACCAGAAAATGCCCTTAGTAAATGCAAACATTAAAAATTAAAATTATTAATTAAATGAGGATAATAGGGTCAATTTATATTTTTCCTACTACAAAAATTAAAATTAAAATTAAAAACAAAATCAGATAATAGATTTTATATTTTCTCAATTCTAAAATAAAATAAAATAATTAAAAATAAAACAAAAAAGAAAACCAATTGGCGGGGCTAGTTGAAAAGAATGCATAAAGAATAACTCTGTACAAATTCTTGACGAGCTCAATCCTGCATGAATGGAAACATGAAATTTTAGTTTTGGATCACACCGCATGGGAATGTAAAGTTTTACATTCCTATCCACTGGAGTTTTTTTTTGGTTGCTGTCGAAAAGGATGTTTCATTAAACGAACACAGCAGAGAGAAATACATCCAGACAGAGGGCAACTTAAATTATTCTTGCCAGCCACCCGATTGTTGATGGATTTTCATAATCTGTCAGAGTAAATGTAATCCCTTAAAGTCAAAGTACATAAGCATACACAAAATGATTAAATGAACACGTCTGAAATCACTAATCTTCATTGTACTATTTCCAAACTCATCATTTTAGTCTACGTTCTTTCAATTCAATTAATGTCATCTTTATCCTCGTATGTGCACATCAATATTATCCATAATGTCAATTACGTTTAAATTTGCGTCAAAATTAAGGGTAACATCATCTTCTAAGCTCATGAGATGATTCTTTTTCTTGAAATTTTGATAGAAAAGAAATCCAACAGTCATAATTTATTTTCCTAACACCCCAAGAGGCAGAAATATAAACAAAATAATTACAGAATCGAATCTTATTGGGTGAATAAAAACCAAATATATACTTGGCAAACTTCCAATACACCACCTAATTAAATTTTAAAAAAGAAAAGAAATATACGTGTACAAGACCGGAAAAATACATAAATCCAATAGGGCCCCAGATACGTTATTAGAAGAAGAAGCGAGTTCCCGAAAGTCGACAAAACCGGAAAAATAAGAGCAAAAACAAAAGAGCCAAACGTTGGCCAGGCCACAAAGGAAAGGTTACATGTCGGTAGTTTTACCAAAATCCAAGGGCATTATGTGGAACTCGTTTATATTAATTGACAGCGACGCGCAGAGCAGCCAAATAACCCATCCAAACAAGCCCTTCTCTCCATCTCTCTCTCTTAAAAAGCACCCCCTCTTATTGTGGCTCTCTCTCTCTCTCTCTCTCTCTCTCTCTCTCTGCGTTGCGATCCTCACACCACAATCTCATCCTCTCACAGATTCGTCCTCTTCTTCTCGATCCCCAACTGTAAGTCTCCTCTTCTCTGCTATCTCTTCTCTCTCTTCTCTAGCCCTAATTTGTCCGTCCGATCAATTTCTTTCATCCTCCAGATCCCTAATTAATTTAATCTATTTTGTACGAGACTGAATTTTCAATTTTGATTTCAAATCAGTTTACTTTGTTTAATTACTTGGAGGCTGTTGCCGTCTGATTGACCTCCATTCACATCCTTGCCTTTGGTTCCTGCTGTTGCATGTCAACGATTCCGATTAGGTTTTTAATTACCGGTTTTTACTTTAATTTTGAAAATAATTATGTATTTTTTTTCAATATTTTTGTTGTTATTGATGTTTGATTTTGATCTGCTTTGCCTACGATTTTGATCTGTTTTGTCTTGGGAGCTGATTTTGGGTTTTGAATTTGTTAATGTACTACTGGCGCTTGCTGAAATGATTGGGCTTTTAGGGTTTCAGTTTGGGGCTTTTCCAGACTGGTGCAAGCTCAATTTTTTTGCTCGTTTTATTGTGATTGAGATTTTTCTAGGGTTTTGTCATTTTTGAATTTTACTTTAAATAATTGTTACTTGTATGTGGCTGTTTCCGTAATGTGAATGTCGATAAGTGAATGACTAATGTGAATATGCTATCATGATGTGAAAAAAATTGCTATTGAGCTGCATTTGCATGTTAAATTAAATAATGTATAATGGCGACTTTGAGCTACCACATTTTCTGTTTCTGCCTAGTTTTTAGTAGGAAAAAGGAAATACAGGAAATTCTGAATTGTTTTTTATGTTTGAGTTCTTCTTTTAGGCTCATGTCATTGTTAGTTTCCTCATAAAATGGCACATCTGTTATTTATATTTCTAACATCTCTTTTGTTTTTAATATTTTCAAGCATTGTCTGCTCAGGTTTAAGTCGAGCATTTGGATTTTATTTTGCAATTTCGAAGTTTTTTTTTCCTTCTGTTTCTTATCTGTATGCACATACCTATTAAGATTAATGCTATATTGAGTATAGTTGCATTTAATCTTGTGCATTGTGTTTATTTACTTTTTACACTTTATTTTTTAATTTTTTTAGGGTAATCATGAGTGACCAGGGAGAAAAGACTTGTCCTCTTTGCGCAGAGGAGATGGATTTGACAGATCAGCAATTGAAGCCATGTAAATGCGGTTATGAGGTCTGGGACACTAACTTACCTCTATCTTTTTGTGGGTTGGGGGGAGGTTTGGTGGATAGTTGTTCCTATTTTGTCTACATAGTGCTTTTGATTTGAATTTCAAACTGCATGATTAGTCATTCAACTAGTCACTTCCCATGGACTGTTTGTCGCTACTAAAAGTTTGCAATCCTAATCTATTTGGTTACGTGACATATCCTGTACACTATTCAACTTATTTGGGCACTTATATGAATTTATTTTCTTCCTGCCACATTATTGAAACAGTTCTATGTGGATTTGGTATTGAGTTTGCAAGTTACGAAGAATAGTGGCAAAACCTATGGGTAGTATAAGATAATTTTTCATCATTGCAAAGCAAAGCATAGAATTGAGTCTCTTTATAGTCAACCGTCAATACCAATGAAAAAAGGTATTAACATTTGACTCTACTAGATTGGGTCCAGGTTGGTTCATTACTGGTTTTGTTCCACATATTGTCTTATGCTTCTCTAGAATATTTTTTGGAACGTCAGGTGTTCCTCCTTTTCAAACTTGGGAAGTGTCTTTTTTTATTTATTTAATGGCTTTAATTGAGAAAGCTTCAGTGGTGTGAGTGTTTCTAGGAACCCAATATTCCTGTGTATAGCTGACATCCTGATTCACTGATGAACACTGCCTTTGCCCACTGTTGGAGAAATACGAAAAGTTTTCTTCACCACAATTAATCTCTTACAATTGTTTGGTAGGATGGATGGACAGGATAAAATCATAAGTGAAGGATAAAGTGATTGGAAGACAAAATGTACCCTCACTTGTTTAGAGGAAAGGGACAAAAAAAAAATGCTGTGTATAAACCGTTGAGTAGTTGGATTGAGGACAGAGTAAAAGTATCGAAAGTTTCTCTTTGCCTCCCTCCTATGATCCTTTCAAAGTTGGACAGATTTAGTTAGTTTGGTCCAGAGGGTTCCTTCCCCCTTGCATTAGTAGCTGGGTCGAGGAAAAAGAGTACAATTATCAAAGGTGTCTCTTGTCTCCCTCCTTTGTTCCATTTGAAGTTGGACAGATTTGGTTTGTTGGGCCCAGATGGCTCCTTTACCTTTTATTCTCCTTCCTACCAAATGAAGGATAAACTCTCGTTTCCTGCTCTCCTATCTGGTTCTCTTTACAAAACATAGTGTTAGACATGATAGTAGAGTTTTCTTTTGGGATATTAGAGTGCAGGGTATTGAACTGTGTGTCAGTGTGTGGTGGCTTTGTTCAGAATCAATATGTATGGCCCTGACAGGCAGTCAAATATTTGGGATAATTGGGTTTGTGTGTTTGGTTTTTGTTAATTGTGAATCTTTGTATTTATGTTTGTGCACCTTGAAAGTTATAACTTTTGCGTGGACTTTATTCTTATTTCTGCCGAATTCTGAAATTCTCTACTTGATCACAGATATGTGTTTGGTGTTGGCACCACATAATGGACATGGCTGAGAAGGATGAGACAGAGGGGCGGTGTCCTGCATGCCGCACTCCTTATGATAAGGAAAAGATTGTAGGGACGGCTGGAAAGTGCGAGAGGTTGTTTTTCTGTGGACCATAATTTTTTTTGCATCAGATAGATAGCCACATCAATTTTTAATTAGATAAGTAGCAACTGTCATTGTAATTGCTTGGACCTTTTTCTTTAACTTTTGCCCCACAGATTGGTGGCTGAAATCAATACCGAGAAAAAGATGAAGTCTCAGAAGGCAAAGGTTAAATCGACTGAAGGACGGAAGCAGCTCAGCAGTGTGCGAGTGATTCAAAGGAACCTTGTTTACATAGTTGGGTTGCCTCTTAATCTGGCAGATGAAGATGTAGGCTCTCTCTCTCTCTCTCTCTCTCTCTCTCTCTCTCTCTCTGGCATATTTCTGTTTTGGCTTGTAGAGGCTCACTAATTTAATGCATCTCTTATGCAGCTTCTGCAGCGCAGAGAATATTTTGGTCAGTATGGGAAGGTTTTAAAAGTTTCTATGTCCCGAACTGCAGCTGGTATCATTCAGCAATTTCCAAACAATACATGTAGTGTGTAAGTAAACCTGTTCATAGAGAATTGGTTTAGTAATTTTTTTTTCATTTCCTTATGTTCTTTGGAGAGATGTTTTTATACAGCTGGATCCCACTGTTTTTATAATTAGCTCAAAATTTCGTATGCAGTACATGTTAATTTTCTTGTTTACAGCCATGTGATGGTGATTGTTGCTTGTTAATTTTCTTATTGATATTTTACACATTCACCTTTCATTTGATTTGATCGAAATGTTCAATTTTGGTATTCTAATATTAAGACTCCAGCGTAGCATAGCATTAAGCTTGTTGCGATCTTCTGATTGCCATTGTGTGTTTAGTGTTGGTTTCATAATGGTTCCTTGTGCTCAGATATATTACTTACTCGAAAGAAGAGGAAGCGGTTCGTTGTATTCAAAATGTACATGGGTTCCTCTTGGATGGTAGATCGCTGAGGTACATGCATGTTTATATTTATTCTCTCATTAATGAATTGCATGATTTTACAGCATAGAGTCGTTGGTATAATAATCCCTTATATGTATGTTTCAGGGCATGCTTCGGGACCACAAAGTATTGTCATGCATGGCTGAGAAGTGTGGTATGAATCATTACTTGGTCTGTCTGGTTTATATAATTTCTCTATTGTAGTTGTATTAAATTTTAAAGAATCTATTTGAGGACTGACTTTTGTTCTTTCCAGCCTTGCACCAATCCTGATTGTTTGTATCTGCATGAGGTTGGGTCTCAGGAGGACAGTTTCACTAAAGATGAAATAATTTCTGCATACACTAGGTATTTAGTTCGCCAACCTGGGCATTCTTTTTCAAATGACCCGTGTACTGCATTATTGCTGCCCTTGTTGATTGTAATAAATCTATCAGGAGGTTTTGGAAGAGGTGTTTATTATGGCTTCATTCGCCAAAACCTAGGCTAGAAAGATGTTACCAATGAGATGAGCCTTGGGTGTTCAACGATCTTTCTTTTTCCTCAAGAAGCATTTTTTTCCTACAAAAATACAGTTGGTGAGGCACAGTGTGTATGAACTCTGCCAAACCTATAGCACTTCCAATGAGCCTGGAATTGTAACCAAGCTCTTCAATGTGCATAATAGCCTTTCTTCACCTTGATGCTTATCATGTTGTCTAGAGTAATAATAAGCATTCTCTGCGTTGGGATTATTTGGAAGGATATAGTTGGCCTTAGGCCTGATAAATCCATCCCAAAGATGGTCGTGAACATTAATGATAGATGGTTGTGGAGATGAAGGTTAAAGAAATTTATCATACATTAAATGCTTTAATATAGTTCAATTTTTTCGTATGTTGTCATTTAAATAGGCCTTTTTCTTGCGCTGTCTGCATGTTTTTTAAACTTTGGGTGGTGTTTTCGTTGGATGATTAATTAATTTGGGCAATGGTTTCCTGAAGGAGTAGGGTACAACAAATTACTGGTACTGCAAACAGTATGCAACGGCGTTCAGGGAGTGTTTTGCCTCCACCACTAGATGATTATTGTAACAGCAGTTCTACTTCTGCTGGAGGACCAATTATTAAAAATGGTTCAAGTGTAAGTGTCATATCTCACTGGGTAGTTATGGAATTGCAAGGATAAGCTGGTTGCTATCATTTCTGTTTGCTTATTGTTTATTTTGAGCATTCGTGTTTTCCTTTGAACATCTTTTGCACACTGGATAGTTTAGAAATATTCGACAAGAATTCTGGAAACCTATATTAAAGTTTAGTTAAAGTTACAGATAGTTGGTAACATGAAGTTGTCGGGGTGTGCTCATTTTACAGGTGGTTATTGAATCGCAAGGATAAGCTGGTTGCTATCATTTCTGTTTGCTGTTTATTTTGAGCGTTCTTGTATTCCTTTGAACATCTTTTTCATACTGGATAGTCTAGAAATATTCGACAAGAATTCTGGAAACCTATATTAAAGTGAAGTTAAAGTTATAGATAGTTGGTAATATGAAGTTTAGGTTGTATGGTTTGATATTAGCCGGTTATAAGTTGCAGTTTTGAGTCATATCTTATTGTTTTGGTTTTGTTTTTAACCTGGCAGAATACTGGAAGCCTTCTTAGAGGTTCTCCTCCAAATGGAAGCTCTGGTAGATCTATTGCTCTTCCAGCTGCAGCCTCATGGTATGTGGTTATTTATTATTTTTTCCTTTACATTGTTTTATGATTGTAATCAATCCTAAAAGTACTGAGTGCACTTTGCAGGGGAACACGTGGTTCAAATTGCCAACCACCAGCTACAAATATAATAAATTCGAATGGACATACTAAACAGAAACCTGATGTCAATTGCACATTGCCATTTTCTTCAGCAGCGGTTGCTACTACTCAGGCTTCTGTACTGCATAGTGATGCAGGAAAGAGGTCAGCATTAAGTGATGAAAGTCAGACTATGCATGCTAAAGGTAAACCAGAATCATTGAAGATTGTGAGACAGAATAGTGGTGTGGATTGTCAGAATGACCTGTCTGATGAACCTGCTGCACCCGATGAAGCTCCTGCTTCTGTGAATGGGTGTAGCCCTTTATCTTCCCCCCAAACAACCAAGGATAATGATAGAGGCAGCAGCATGCAGCCAAACATCAGCAATGCCACCAACCAAAGCATATGCTCTGATATGCCTTTGATGGGCATTGATAGAAATTCCATGGTAGAACATTCTGGTGTAGTCAGATCTAATAGTTCACTTTCTGATAATTCTGTGATTAAATCGCCTCGGAACCAAGGGTTACAGCAATATTGTGCTGAGCAGTCCAGAGAACCTCCAATAACTGTTGTGACAGCTGTTAATGCAGTGTGTGTTACAAGGGAACAATCCAACTGGATATCAGAGTCACAAGCACAACTAGTACCAAATGCATCTTCTGAGGTGGAAGAGGATGTACTATCTTTTGACAATCAGAGACTCAAGGATCCAGAAGTGAGTCGTTCAACATATTTGCCTAGTTTGGCTAATGCGGTACATGTTTCAAATCATTCTAGGTCTCCATTGTTGCATAGTGAAGCTTATGGTGCAGTTTATTCAAATGTTGATCGTCCATTTGTTGATAACAAAATGAGGGACAGTTCACTTCTATCTTCGTCCAGTATTTCAGTAACATCTAATGGTTACCCTGAGAACTTGGTAAGCAGATCTTCTGGTTCAGAGAGGCCGTTGGAGCATTCCTTTCTGCTTCCAAATGAAGGCCCAGGGAAGCACAGTGGAAGATTCCTGGATGATGCAGCTAATGCGGATTTCAGTGCTGCTGTTGACAAGGGAGAGAGTAGCATAATCTCAAATATATTATCAATGGACTTTGACACTTGGGATGACTCAATAGCGTCACCACAGCATTTTTCAAAATTATTGGGTGAAACTGATAGACAGCCTGGAGCTCTCAAAATGTCAAGTCCTTGGAAAGTACAAAATAACAATCAGTCCAGATTCTCTTTTGCAAGACAGGAGGATTCTAAAAATCAAGCATTCGATGTACAGTCATCTCTGAATGTTGTTGGGCAGTTTTCTAATAACCAATCATTCCACCATGGTTTTTCCGAAAATAGAGATTTAGGTTTGGAGAATCTTGGAATTGGAAATGGTTTTTCATCTAGCTCTTACGAAGAACCTGAAAATCATGGCAGCAATCATTTAGCTTTTTCTTCTAACAAGCTTTCTGGTGAGTACTGACTGGCTTTATGTTACTGTTTCTTCTTCTGCTGATTACCTATTGGGGTTTGTTGTATTTGCTGCCTTCCATTGGTCTTAGTAGGAATTTGTTTATGTTCTTTCTTGATGTTTAGCGGCATGCATTTTTTTCTGTGCCCCACATTTTGTTGCACGCAGTCAAGATGTTTTTTAAATGATTCCTTGCATGATCTGCGCTCTCATGTCACTTAATCATGCTCGTGAGACCTTTCTTTATTATTTTTGTTTCCGGAAGTTTGAATTATCTAATAGGTTCATGACCGTAATTAATTTTCAATTCTGTGCATAAAGTTCTTGTTTATTATGATCAGTGATTATTATTAGTAACAGTTTTTAAATGGGTTTTCAATTTATTTTCTTTGCTGGCCTGGGGGTTGTTTTTCATGCTGTCTTGTTTCTAACCATTATTAAAATCTTTCAGTGGTTTCAAGGGCTCAAATTTCTGCTCCTCCTGGATTCTCTGTGCCAAGCAGGGCACCACCGCCAGGCTTTACTTCTCATGAGAGAGTGGATCAGGAGTTTGACTCTCTGGCTGGTTGGTTATATACAATATCTTTTAATTTGACTTTTTCTAATGCATCTGATGTTTAAGTGCTAATTTCATTACCTGTTTCTCAGGGAATCATTTGTATGATACTTCCTCTTTGTTGAGAAATGCATATCACCCTCAGGCAACTGGTAATATTGGTAGCTCTGGGGATATTGAGTTTATGGATCCTGCTATATTGGCGGTTGGTAAAGGGCGACTGCAAGGTGGGCTTAGCAACCCTGGCCTTGAAATGAGATCAAACTTCCCTTCACAGTTAAGTGCCTATGAAAATGATGCAAGGCTTCAACTGTTGATGCAAAGATCCCTCACCCCACAACAAAATGTTAGATTTCCTGATTTTGGCGATGGTTTTTCTCACGTCAATGATTCTTATGGAATTTCTTCGATGCTTTTGGATCAATCTCAGACTAGCAGCAATCTATCCCCTTTTTCTCAATTGTCCCTCCAACAACAGTCTAGAAACCGGGTCATGTCAAATGGACACTGGGATGGGTGGAATGAGGCTCAGGGTGGAAGCACTCTGGGTATGGCAGAGCTCTTGAGAAATGAGAGACTAGGGTTCAACAAGTATTATTCTGGTTATGAAGATTCAAAGTTTCGGATGCCCAGTTCTGGTGATCTGTATAACAGAACATTTGGGATGTAATATTGCAAAATGATAGCTTTGCATGGTTGGGGAGTGTTCAAAAGGAATCGAGGGCTGTGTGGTTGTGTGACCTTGTATTCAAGGATGGGACTGACTCATAACTGGTCTTTGCCTCGGCAGCCTTATGTAGGGTCAAACTCCCGTAACTTTTGGGGTCTGTAATCCTGCAGGTAAGGATGAATTACTTGTTTAGGTTTTTGTATGTGGACATATTTTAATTTTTCTAGTTTGTTAGCATGGCCATATAGAGGAGAAGCATGGATCTATTATTGCTTGCAGGGCTTTTGTTGCATCATGTAATGCATCTGCTTTCTCTTCTTTTTGTTTTCACTTCCCACTAAATGCTGCTTTTCTTCTTCCCAGTCTCTTCTCTCCCACGTAAAGGCACATAATTTGTATATTCCTTTGATTTAGACATTATGGTTAGCATGTTGTGAATTGAACAAACCTTTGTCATGCGAGTCTTCAGTTCTGTTTCTACAAGTGCCACTATGCCAATTCACTTAAAAGTAGGATAGTAAGAATGCCTGCCTCTTGGGTCCCTGCACCTTTTTTCCCTTTTGCTAGATTTAAGTTGGAGTGAATTACTGGTATGTGCATTTTCTTGTATTTAGTTGGGCTTCTACTTTGTATGCATTTGCAGGTGGGGGTGATAAATGCTTGATGTGAAGCTTGTATTGCGGGTTGCTGTATATGGTCAATTCGGACCGGCTGATCATCCAGATGATGAGTATTCAACTCCCTGCTGTACGGATATTTGATTGTTGCTCTCACAACTAAATGGATGAAATCTGACCCTTTTGGGGAGTTTTATACTGCGCTAACTGTTTAACATGACAAAATGGATATTAATGAATTTACACCTTTTTTCCCCTTCTAAGTTTCTATTTGTATTGTGTTTGCAAAGTTCAGAACAGAGAAGTGATTGGAATTAAAAAGTATTTCGTGCAATTATTTTCTGAGTGTCGGGTGTGTGCTGTAACTAGTTGGGATGGCAATGTTCTGTATTTTCTAAAAAAAGAAAAGAGGAAGAAAAAGCTAGAAGCTATTATTTTGAAGAGAATTGTTTATCCATCAGTGTCTGCTATTGTTTTTTTGGTAAAGGAGGGCATGATGTGGGTTTTGCTCTGTAGAGGCTGCTGTGCTACGAGGGATTTGTTATTTATTTTCGTGCCTTTCGGATTATGTTGGATTATTATTGTAGAAATAAAATAAATAAATAGATATCTGCTTGATGTTAAAACAAAGCTGTTAGTTGCTTGGATGCTGTCATATTTTCCAAGCATATAATTGGAGACTCTTCGTATGTGGGCAGCGTTGTAGACAATTCGTATATAATATTGTCCTGTTTTTATTTGGATGCTTGTCTTGTTTTTATTTAGATATTTATGGTAATATTTCATTACAAATTCTTTTTGAGTTTGATCACAAGGCTGGGCTATGTAGGAGGGAGAAGAGGATGAGATTGGGGAGTGGTTAGGAGAGATTTTTTTTTCTTTTTCTTTTTCTTCATTTGTTATATCTACATTTCATTTTAAAGTTTCTTTCTGTAAATGTTAATAGTATTTTATACTATTAATAAATCAATAAATATAATTTTTTGAATACTTAAGATGGTATAAGCTATAAGAGCATCTCCAAGGGAAGAGACAAAAGAGTAGGGAAACCTCATTAGTCTTGTCACATCAACATTTTCATGCTCCAAGGGAATAGGCAAATGGGTAGGCAAAATATACCTACTTTCCCCAATAAGGCAATATTGCCTACTTCAAAATAAAGAGGTATATTGGGTTCCACTTAATTTTCATAATAAAATATCACTCCACTCTCTCACATACTTTCTATAAAATATAATAGTAAATGTAAAAGATAAAAATAAAAATATAATAATGATAAAATATAAAATAAAAATATAATAATGATTTGTAGACTTGCATTGCTTAGTCCCTTCGAGTGACTAATTTTTTTAATAAGGCAAATGGATAAGCAACACGCCACCTAGGTTGCTATGGTACAATTTTGTCTATTTCATATGCTTACTCCCTTGGGAATGCTCTAAGGCCATCTCCAACCCATGAGACCAAATCCAAAATATCCCAATACCTCTCCAAACCCAAGAAAATGAAGGGGCCGAAATTTGGGAAAACCCAAACTTTTGGGCCAAATAGCAGTCTAACTATTGCCTAGACCTAAAAAATTTTTGGTAGAGACAAAATGGGGCCTCTGTTGGGGCCCGTGTTGCATGGGATGTTGGATGACTGACGCAGTCAGTGTGCCAAGTGCCGAGACGTGGTCATGTTGTCGTTGGAATCCAATGGCAACAATTCAAACTTTGTTTATTTTTATTTTTATATATATTCTAATAGTAACTTAAATCAACTATATAAATTAAATCAAAGCTATTTTAGCGGTAATTAAAAAAAATCCAATGACTGAAATTTAAATCTAATGGTCAAAATAATATTTTAAATTAATATAAATCAAATCCAACTCCAAAACTCACTCCAAACTCTATAAATACCCACATATTTCTCAATTAATCTACCAAAAACATTTTTTCTATTTCTCAATTTATTTTTCCTTTGTCAATTTCATCAATCTCCTTTCATTCTCATACTTTTCATATCATTTCAAGCACATCATCTTATGCATTCTCATACATTCTCATAGTTTTCATGTTTTCTTTTGGGGAGGTATTTGGCCAGCTTTCCAGGGCAGAAATTTGTGGGCCCCAAATTGAAGGCAACTTGCAGCACATGAAGGAAAGCAAAACTGAGGAGGTGGGCCAGCCATGTCAGCTACTTGAAGGGAAAGTTGATGACGCGTGGCGCAAGATGAGCTTGTAGTCTTTGCCATCTAATGACTACAATTCAAACATCCAAATTGATTTTTATTTATTTCAAATGTAATGGCTAGTTTAATCCAACGATTGTGATTAAAAAGTGACTTGATCAACAAAAAAAACAAATGATCCAACGGCTAAAATTAAAATCCAACAACTAAAATAAATAAATCAAATATTATAAATCAAATCTAACCCCAAAATACATCTCAAACTCTATAAATCTTCATTAAAGTCTATGAAATAAAATGTTGTTGTAATTTTTTTTTAAGTGAAATTATATTATATTTTGAATTTTGGATTTTTTTAGGTTAAAATCTTCAGAAAATTAATTCACGAAGGTTGAAACAAAAATAATATGAAGAAAAATTAACGAGAAAAAAAAAAGGGTTAACCTTTTTTAAACAATTTAATAAAGTTGCGGACTCAAATTATAAGTTTGCATGGTTGGAGGAAAAAAAACTATTTGAGTTCAGGCAATACATGAATACTTGTATTTTGAAGGGGAGAAATTTGGGTTTAGCCCCATTTGGATTTGGATTGGAGATGGCCTATGGGAATGAGAATTTGAGATGCAAGTTATGTTTTTTTTAAACTTGTAGACCTTGTTGCTAACTAAATATATTATATATTTATAACTAGAGCTTTTCAAATATAAGCCATAACATTTATTGAACCAACAATAAATTAAAATAACCCATCACATTCACATCTATGCATTTTAGAGAAAAACCCTTTTAGGTCTAATACTTTAGGAAAAGATAATTCTTTCATTGATTTAGGGACTATATATATACAACAGAGAGAGCAGCCATTATGGCTTGCAGCACAGCAGGAGTACACAGTTACAAGAAAAAATAAAGGCCTTGGAGAAAACAATTACAGGAAATCAGGAGAGAATAAAGACTTTGGAATTACAAAAAGTACCAATTAACTACCATAGTGGCTAATTAGAGTCATTACCTAAGTTATCAATTAACCACCATGACAAGTATGTGCCAAGTATTACTATCAAGTTACACGTATTTCTCTTGTATTGAGATAAAACCAACGTTACGAAGGAAAGTTTATTAATTTTAAACAAAATCTATTATTAGAGACATAAACTTGACCCCGATCAATAATAATATCTAAAAAAATATTCTGAATAAAATAAGCGAGAGCTCATAATAAACAAGAAAAACACTCGCAAGCCAAATCATACTTAGCTAGTCTATGTATATCTCCTATTTATCTTTTGTACAGAAATGCATATTTGACATTCACAATACAAGAACTATACATTTTTTATGAAAAATTAATGGGTAGTAATAAAACACTGCCACATATATGTCTCTTAACTTTTCAATGTATGACAATACTCTTAACAGTAACTAGTATGGTGCATGATGTCATTTAGAAAACACAAAAGCTCATTTACCACATTTACACTTAATACGTGAATGCAAAAGACGCAGTTGTCATACTCAATGATCCTAAGAAGGGCATGAAATTAAGAAGTATTGAAAGAAGTAAACCTTTTCTTGCCTTAGTTGAAACCTTGACGTATGCAAAATATTTGGGAAAACCTTAATGTAAAGGTTAATAGTATTTTATAGTAATAATAAATAAATACTCTTTTTCTTTTTGTCAAAAAATAAATAAATAATTAGAACCCCATTACACTGGCTATCTCTCTCACACACACACACACACACTCTCTCTCTCTCTCTCTCTCTCCACATCATCGTCATCCCAAACCCCATTACCACCGCAAACAGTGTTTGAAATATATATATTTTTCTTTTCAATTTGTTGATTTTTGAATTTGTAGAGAGAGAGAGAGAGAGAGAGAAAGAGGAGGGGTGGCTTGGGGCTCTGAGTTGCAATGAATCTGGGCAGTCGGGGCTAGGGATTGGTGTCGGGAAGGGGGTGGCTTGGGGCTGATAGTTTTTTTTGTTATTTATTTTAAATTTCTTTTTTTAAATAGATTTTAAATATTCTTATGTGGAGGTGGGCTTCACTTGCCACATCACCCACTTAATTCATAGATAATGATTCATGTGTACGAAATTACAAAACCACCCATATCATGTCATCAAAGTTAACAGATTTTTAAATGGAGTTGACATGAGTGGATAAAGTGGGTCACCAAACCTCGATTAAGGAATGAAATTGGGTCATTTTGAGTTTGAAGGGAAGTGAGATTTGACCAAAATTTAAGGAGTATCGATGTAATTAAGCCTAAATAATTAGAAGGGGACCCGAAAGCGGATGGTTGAATTCCAAAGCCACGCCCACGGAATGGAGGCTGTTCTGTGCACACTCCAACAAGTAGAAGATGTCAAAAAGCGTGTTTGAATGAAGTTCGTTTAGAATTTTAGAGTGTTTAAATAAAGGCTAGTTTTGCACATTTTCTTACTCAGTGTCAGTGCTATTATTCGAGAGATGCTGAAGATGATGATGCGGAATATAGCTGCTTCTTCTTCTTCTTATTGCACCAGCAGGAGATGGAGAGGTATGCCTTGTCTTCACTCGAACTCCACTGTTGTTGTTTTGGCCAACGATTACTGTGCTTTCCTTCACTCTCAACCTTCTAAACCAATCAAATCTATAAGAACCCAACTAGAGCAGCCAGTGAGAAACTCACCCAAAATAACAACTGTAGAGGATGCTTTCAATGTGTTTGATAGAATGCTTCAAATGCGTCCTCCGCCTTCAGTTGTTCGTTTCAATCAAATATTGGGTCAAGTTGCGAAATTGAAACATTATTCGGCCGTCATCTCATTGTATAACCAAATGGATGTGTCGGGAATTGGACCTGATGTTTATACTCTAAACATTCTCATAAATTGTTATTGTCATCTAAACCAAATCGGGTTTAGTTTATCTGTATTGGGAAAATTCTTCAAACTTGGTCTTGAACCAGATGTCTTTACCTTCACCACTCTAATCAACGGCTTTCTTCTTGAGAATAGAGTGGCGGAGGCGGCAACCCTTCTCCACAAGATGATGAGGGGAGGTAATTGTCAGCCTAATGTGGTTACTTATGGCACGCTAGTAAAGGGCTTTTGCATGAAATGTAACAATAGTGCTGCTATTCAGTTGCTTAGGAAGATGGAGGAAGGAGCTTGCCAGCCTAGCCTAATTGTCTATAACACAATCATCGACAGTCTTTGTAAGGATACACTAGTGGATGATGCATTTAACCTCTTCTCAGAAATGATGAGCAAGGGTATTGCCCCAATGTCATTACCTATACCTCTTTGATGAATGGAGTTTGCAAATTAGGCGAGTGGAAAGAAGCTACAAGGTTGTTGAATGAAATGGTGAGTAAAAATATCTTTCCAAATGTGTTCACATTCAGCATCTTGGTAGACACAATTTGCAAGGAGGGGATGGTCGTGGAAGCAGAAGGTGTGGTTGAAATGATGATTCAAAGAGGTATTGAACCAAATACAGTTACGTACAGTTCACTCATGGATGGTTACTGTTTGCGAGGAAGAATGGACGAAGCGAAAAAGGTTTTTGAACTAATGCTTAGCAAGGGCTCCATGGTTGATGTTGTTAGTTACAGCACATTGATAAATGGATATTGTAAGCATAAAAAGATTGATGAGGCCATGATGCTTTTTCTGGATATGTCTCATAAGGGACTAGTTGCAGATACCGTTACCTTTAACACTCTTCTGGATGGTTTTGGCAAAGCAGGTAGAATACAGGATGCACAAAAGTTGTTCTCCGAGATGCAAGCTTGTGGCCAGCTTCCAGATGTTCAGACTTATTCTATTTTACTGGATGGCCTGTGTAAAAACCAACAACTTTCTAGGGCAATGCAATTGTTTGGAGAGATGGAAGCGAAGAAGTTGGATATTAATATTGTGATTTACAGTATTCTTGTTGAAGGTTTGTGCATAGCTGGAAAAATTGAATCTGCAAGGGATCTCTTTTGTGGCTTATCATCAAAAGGACTTGAACCTAATGTGAGGACATACACTATAATGATTAATGGACTCTGTATCGTGGGCCTAACAAGTGAAGCAGAAAATTTGCTTATCCAAATGGAAGAGAAAGGCTGTTCTCCAAATGCTTACACCCATAACACAATTATCCAAGGTTTTATCAATAATAATGAGACATCAAGGGCCATGGTACTTATTCAACAAATGGTGGATAAGGGTTTCTCTGCAGATGCATCAACAACGGAGTTGATAGTTCATTTACTGTCGAAAGATGAAGTGGATCCTGCGTTGTTGCCGTTAATAAAGTAATCTTTCTGAAAGCAATAAGCATATATGGACAATGAAATTTGAAACTGCTGCACCTTTGACGACCATGAAGATATTACAATGGTTGTGTGTATGGCACGAGGTGAATATGCCTTCTCACTTGCATCCGGAATTTCTGGTATTAATTCTTTTTAATGGAATTTCCGTTGTATTTTATTATTTACTATGAGAAGCTCTGTTTCAAAAAAAGATCCCATACAAACCTCTGTCCACTGATGCAGAGGCGCAATTGCAGGGTAACGCCATGCAGCTATGCGTTTCCATTTATTAGGGATTGAAGGGTTCTTGTATGATTTTAGTTATAAGTTATAACACATTACTTTTTCTCTAACTTCTCTCCTACAAAAACTATAATTCCCCTCACCGCATGTATATCATATGAAGGTTTCTGGTAACTTACTAACGTAAGCGTTAATGATTAGAATGAGAAATTAACATGTGAATATAAATTATTAATAATCCCCATGCTGTCTGTTAGTGTTTTTGTCTTTGTGTTTTTTGAATAAGAGAAGGAAATTAAAGAAGACATCCACGGGCCAAAGCAAAACTTACAGCACATCAAACAAAAGCATACTCTTAGACTAATGTAGCATGATCTTTAGCAGCAGAAGCAGATGGTACTTATTCAACAAATGGTGGAGAAGGGTTTCTCTGCAGATGCATCAACAATGGAGTTGATAGTTAATTTATTGTCCAAAGATAAAGTCGAACCTGCTTTTTTGGAGTTAATATGCATCTGTGGACAATGAAATTAGAAATTGCTACACCTTTGACAACCATGAAGGTGTTATATATATGGGTCCGGATCAGGGGACACTTTTGTACCTTTATCAAGAGAAAGGAAAGTTATTCAAATGCTGATCATCTATTTGTTGATAACAAAATGAGGAACAGTTCACTTCTATCTTCTTCCAGTGTTTCAGTAACATCTAATGGTTACCCTGAGAACTTGGTAAGCAGATCTTCTGGTTCAGAGAGGCCGTTGGAGCATTCCTTTCTGCTTCCAAATGAAGTCCCAGGGAAGCACAGTGGAAGTTTCCTGGATGATGCAGCTAATGCTGATTTCAGTGCTGCTGTTGACAAGGGAGAGAGTAGCATAATCCAAAAATATTTACCAATGGACTTTGACACTTGGGATGACTCAATAGCGTCACCACAGCATTTTTCGAAATTATTGGGTGAAACTGATAGACTGCCTGGCTGTAGCTCTCAAAATGTCAAGTCCTTGGAAAGTACAAATTAACAATCAGTCCAGATCCTCTTTTGCAAGACAGGAGGATTCTAAAAATCAAGCATTCAATGTACAGTCATATCTGAATGTCATTGGGCAGTTTTCTAATAACCGAAATAGAGATTTAGGTTTGGAGAATCTTGGAATTGGAAACGTTTTCTCATCTAGCTCTTTTGAAGACCCTGAAATCATGGCAGCAATCATTTAGCTTTTTCTTCTAACTAGCTTTTCTGTTCGTACTGTCTGGCTTTATGTTACTCTTTCTTCTTCTGCTGATACCTATCTTTTTTATATTTGCTGCCTTCCATTGGTCGTAGTAGGAATTTGTTTATGTTCTTTCTTGATGTTTAGTGGCATGCATTTTTTTTCAGTGCCCCACATTTTGTTGCACACACAAGATTTAAAAAAAAAAAATTGATTCCTTGCATCATCTGCTCTCCAAGGTCACATAACCATACTCCTGAGACCCTTCTGCTATTCATCTGCGTGAAAGTGTTTTTTTTTGGGGGGGGATTATATGGGCCGCTTATTTATTGTATGTTGTATTGTTGGATATAGTTGCCAGATCATTCTATTTGTTAGACATTGGTGAGAAATTGTTTAATGATGGAAATGATTTTATGGTTGGTGTTGATCTTTTTTATTTTTGTTTCCTGTAGTTTGAATTATCTAATAGGTTCATGACCGTAATTAATTTTCAATTATGTGCTTAAAGTTCTTGTTTATTGTGATCTCAAGTGATTATTATTAGTTTCAGTTTTTTTAATGGGTTTTCGCTTCTTTTCTTTGCTGCCCCGGGGGTTGTTTTTTCATACTTTGTTTGTTTCTAGCCATTATTAAAAGCTTTCGGCAGTTTCAAGGGCTCAAATTTGTGCTCCTCCTGGATTCTCTGTGCCAAGCAGGGCACCACCACCAGGCTTTACTTTCATGAGAGAATGGATCAGGAGTTTGACTCTCTGGCTGGTTGGTTATATACAATAAATTTTAATTTGCATTTTTCTAATGCATCTGCGTTTAAGTGCTAATTTCATTACCTGTTTCTCAAGGAATCATTTGTGTGATACTTCCTCTTTGTTGAGAAATGCATATAAACCTCAGACATTTGGGATGCCCAGTTCTGGTGATCTGTATAACAGAGCATTTGGTATGTAATATTGCAAATGATAGCTTTACATGGTTGGGGAATGTTCAAAAGGAATCGAGGGCTGTGTAGTTGTGTGACCTTGTACTCAAGGATGCGATGGGACTGACTCATAACTGGCCTTAGCCTCGGCAGCCTCACATGGGGTCAAACTCCCGTAACTTTTGGGGTCTGTCATCCTGCTGGTAAGGATGAATTTCTTGATTAGGTTTTTGTATGTGTACATATTTTAATTTTTCTAGTTTGTTAGCATGGCCATATATAGGAGAAGCATGGATCTATTATTGCCTGCTGGGCTATTGTTAGTGCATCTGCTTTCTCCTCTTTTTGTTTTCAATTCCAAATAAATGCTGCTTGTATTCTTCCCCAGCCTCTTCTCCCCCTCTAGAAGAACATAAATGTTATATTCCTTTGATTTAGACATTATGGTTACCATGTTTCGTGCATTGAACAAACCTCTGTGTCATGCAAGACTTCGGTTCTGTTTCTAGAAGTGCCACTGTGCCAATTCACTTAAAGTAAGTAAGAATGCCTGGCTTTTCGGTCCCCACACCCTCTTTCCCTTTGCTAGATTTAAGTTGGAGTGAATTACTGGCATGTGCATTTTCTTGTACTGAGTTGGGCTTCTACTTTGTATGCATTTGCAGGTGGGGTGATAAATGCTTGATGTGAAGCTTGTATTGGAGGGTGCTGTGTATGGTCAATTTGGACCGGCTGATCATCCAGATGATGATTATTCAACTCCCTGCTGTACTGGTATTTGATTGCTGCTCTCACAACTAAATGGATGAAATCTGACCCTTTCGGGGAGTTTATACTGCGCTAACTGTTTAACATGTCAAAATGGATATTAATGAATTTACAACTTTTTTTTTTTCCTTCTACATTTCTTTTTGTACTGTGTTTGCAATGTTTAAAACAGAAAAGTGATTGGAATTAAAAATTATTTCGTGCAATAATATTCTGAGTGTGGTGTGTGCTATATTAGGCGGTATGGTAATGTTAATGATGTTTTATGTTTTTTTTTGTATTTTCTGAAAAAGAAAAGAGGAAGAAAAGCTTGAAGCTACTATTTTGAATAGAATTGTTTATCCATCAGTGTCTGCGTTCTTTCTTTTTTTGGGTGTAAAGGAGGGCATGATGTGGGTTTGATCTGTAGAAGTTGCTACGTTTCCCACCCAGTGATCTGTTATTTGTTTTCGTACCTGGCAGATTATGTTGATCATTATTTTAGAAAACAGGAAATATTGATATCTGCTTCATGTTAAAATGAAGCAGTTCGTTGCTGGGATGCTGTCATATTTCCCAAGCATATAACGGGTGACTTTTTTGGTGTTTGGACAGCGTAGTTGACAGTTCGTATATAATATCGAATCGGTATTCATCCATTTCCCATTTCCATTTGATTTGTAGATGCTTTCTTTTTTATTTCTTGTGGAAGTATTTAATTTAAATGACAACTTTGGATCCTACTATGCCTCCCCAACAAACCATGAAAATAAGTTCTGATGGTACTTGGTGAGTCCAACATGAAGCTGTGAATTATGAAGAAGCAATTGCTTTTCGTTGCGTTAGGCCACTCTGCTCGGTTTCCAATATTTCTCTACTGCAAAACCTTGCAACATTAACCATCTATATCCCTACTGCAAGGTGCTATGCTAATGCCTATTTTTTGGCAATCAAAAGTTGTACAGTTTGCAAAGGACCCACCGGTTTGGAGCAAATGATCCTTTCAGAAAAAGTCTGAAGTTCGAGTTCTAGCATCAGTGTCTGAAGTTCGAGTTATAGCATCCGTGTAATCTCTAGATCGCCCCTCTTAATATTCAAGGTTCCAAAAAATGTATATAACAAATTGTACTGTTGTGGGTGTGCGTTGATATCCAGATTGCTGACACGTGTTACATCACAAAATCCAGTCCGTTTGGCAACAAATTTAAGAATGACAGGTGGGCAAACTATTCCTGAACAGTATTGTTAGCTTAGCACCCTCTATAATTACTAATGCTTTTGAAAGCTTTTGTCTCCTTAAAAGAGGTCACAACAAGAAGTCACTACAAGACACTATTATTATTATTAGCATTTACACTGGTGGGCCTTTTGAAAAGTGAAATCTCACCCATCCATCCGTCACTACTAGGTTGCAGACAAATTTGGGCCACTGGTGGGCCCACCATAACATCACCAGTTGGGGTGTCTCACTCATTCGCTGCCACAAATTCTTTAATGTTTATTTAAGATTCACCGTGTGACCTAACTGAGAACCCAACTACCTTTACAGAAGAGCCCTAAATTGTAGCAACAAATCAAAGTATGAAACCTAACCCACAATTTGGAATCAACCAAATTTAGGTGGGACAAGACAATAGGTGAGAGACCACGGGGTTCCGAAGAATCCAATTGGGCTTAGGCCCACCATGTGTTTCTTAACTTTTATCATTGACATCTATCCTCCTATGTGGTCCTACTACTCAGCCCAATCTTTCATCTAATAAAGAAAGCTATTAAAAAAAATTAATTTTTTAATTTTAATTTTAATTTTAAAAAAAATTTAAAAAAAATTCTGTCATTATCCTGAATTTTCACCTGTAATGCATGTTTTCAATGCTACCTGAAAATACAAGTGCTAACATGTTTTATGGGTGAGAGTTTAAGGTACGAAACTGAAGATAATCATTTAGTGTTTATAAATTAAAAAAGGAAATTTTTGTTGGCATCCCAAAATAGTCATCATAGATTTAGTCCTTATTTTTTTAATCTCACTTTCATAGAGGTTGGTATTGAATTTTTTTTTGGTAAAGAGTATAATGACTAATTCATAGTGTCAATTTCCTTGAACAAAACAATTATTTCGCCACTTTTGTACCCCACGTTTTTAGTGTATTTTTCACATGTTCCCACACAAATTAAGTGATGCATGGCCACACTATTTAAAGTCCAACCTCCCCGTGCTAAACTCTCTTGTGGTGGCAAGCAAACACATGACATGGTAAAAGGATAATTTTCAAACTCTTATATCACAACGTCATATATTTTCTACTACTCCTCTATGTTTTCTTTCCTGTTTACAATAGCATCTGCACGGTAATAATATATGAACGTCCGAATAGAAGAATAACTATATATATATATATGATTAGCTATTGAAACTAATGAGCCTTTTGTGATAGTCCTCATGTTTACATAAGATGTAAATTTGAAGTTTTTTTTCTCTTTAAAGAGTTAATTAGAGGGATACGTGAAATCTGCATCACTCACACTCACTTAGTATAGAACCCTATAGAAATAGCCAGTATAGAAGGATGAATTAACAAACAAATATCAAAATTATGCAAACAAATCAAATTAGCAAAAGGGTTTTTTATTTTGGTGGCTATGAGGGAGAGGGAGATAAAGCCTCCACTTATCTTGTACAAGTGGAGACAGGGTTTCCAACGAAAGTATAAAATACAATATGTAATAATAATAATTGCTTTGTACATAGTATGTTGTCTTTTACAAATCACATGCTTTAATAGTCAATTTTCTCTGTCTTCTCATGATTAAATATAAATCAGAGAGTATACGCAACTTAATAGTATTTTTATTTATCTTTTACGAATTACAGTTTGATACATATATATATATATACATGTATTTTATTTTATTTTTAGATTATGTACGCATCTAAAGCTATAATTTATCTATAAGTATGACAATTTCGAGAGAATGAACCAAATATATTTCTTATTAATAATATAACACCATTAAAGAACCAAACAAAATTGAGAAAGCCTTCTGTCACTTTCTGAACATGGAAATTGTCGATGCTCAAGGGTTTCTATCATACCATTGTACTTTTATAATGTAAACAAGCAGTTGATTATTGATCTTTAGTTCTCAAGCCTCTAATTTCAGTGGGAAAAAAGTGTGTACAAAACGTGAGAGGCATGAAAAATAAATAAAATCGTATGCGTGTTATTTAAAGTTGTCGATGAAATCGTTAATTTACTATAAAAAGAAGAATGTTATCATTTGCACCACATTACTGACCATCTCTCGACACTGATGATTCCACTTACGGGCGGCATTTATAATAATCATTCAAGTCGTTGATGTAAAAGCACTCAAAGTAGATGAACTAAGATTTCATGAAATGATCCCATTCCCATACGTATAATATAATAATGTGAAAGTTTTTCTGTCACTCAGCCTCAAAAAAGGCTACGTGGCTCTATCCCTGCCGATTATTGTGCACAGGGACTAGGTTGAGCTCGGTTTTTTTTCTACGGTCCTCCTATGTGCTAAGTGCATAGGCACTGTGCATATGCAAAAAGTGGTAGTCAACCACATTTCACAATTGAAGATGCAAGTGGTAACAAATCTCAGCTGTTGAAAACCAATCCAACGGTGACATTTGCCTAGTGCATAGGAGGATTGAAGAAAAATCGTTCCTTCACACTCCATAAATGTTGTCCAATTCTATGCCAAGGGTGACAACAGTAAGTTTTCTTTAGTGCGACTTTGGAAGGATAGTGAGTGTGTGTGTGTGTGTTTACGCAAGCCACTACTCAAGAGAGCAATGTACTAATCCGATCATGTGAAAGTGCATTCGCATTAAAGGCGAAATCGCACCAAACGAAAAGAAGAAGATGTAACATGATCAAAACTTGTTAATTATCTTAATCTTACTTATTTGCACACTAATATCAAGTGAGGTGGAAGGATTTTTGTTTTTGTGTTGCTGTGATTTAAAGGATTGAGAAGGACATGGTGATTGATAAAGAAATTGATTGCATACCCTCAATTTGTAAAGAATCATTTTTACAAGAAAATCACAACTTGCACTCATAGTAAATAAAAAGTCATTCATTCTCGCACACAATCAAATCACGATTTGACAGATATTCACTTATCTCTTCCTCTTTATAAGTGGACACGTGTTTAACTGTGATTTGTCTACATCGACGACTTGTAATAATCAAGCATTGTTCTGGATTGTATATAATTGGGAAGTTCACAAGTATATGATTCTGGCCTTTCAAAGGATGCAAGGACAATTCTTCCGACAGAAAGGGGCATTGAATTTTCATGTCATCTTTTGTTAGAAGTTTGCTTTCATTGTAAAGCAATGGGAAACAGTTCTTTTCTCTTTTGATTTTGTTCCTCTCCCACTAGCAAAGCATTATGTACAGAACCATCACCAAAAATGTCCCATGCATTAACCTGTACTTCTACAAACCCTCACACTTTTGGTGCGGTATTTTTGGCAATTAGAATTGTTTGTGTTGCCTGGCTTTTTACTTCTCTGTCAATTGTGGGGGAACCGTCACATGGTGTTACTAATCTATCCGTTATAACACGAGTGGACAACAAATTTATGGTGCTACAGTGACACTGAAATTTTCTCCAAATACACAATTACTATGGCCTATATGCTGGAAATGTTGTACTGTTTGCGTTAAGAAACAAACCTTCGATCTATAACAATCTTAAAAGAGCTCACTATGAACACCTTTCTGAACGACTAGTTTGGATAGATAGATGGATCCCACCATTACCACGAGATACTTTACATTAGAGATCAAGTTAGATATAACATATTTCCGAGAACAAATACAAATAGACTTAACGGTACTGATATATCCAACAGTGCGGTAATGAGAGGAAAAGGAGTCAGAAATCAACTTGTAGTGTATATATCAATCTCTAATTGAATCATACAAAGAATCTGAAGACCACCGTTATTATGGTTGCTCCTTCAATCCGGAGGAAAATTTAGGCCGTGTGGCCTTCCCTCGGTGATACTTTACTATTGAGAAGTATTGGCGGCAGCCGTGGCTGGCGAAGTAAAACAGAGATTGAGGGCTGTTGGGGTTGAGGGTTGCAAGGGGTGGACAGCAGCGGAGGGAGCGGTAGCTGAAAATGAGAATCCTGATGATGCTGCAGTAGAGAACAGTGGCATTGGGGTAGCACTGACCTGGCCATGCATTTGCCAAGCCCAGTTGGGGGGTCCTTGAGATCCTAATGCAATTCTCTTCTCTGTTTCTCTTTCCTGTCAAATGATTCAAGAGTAAACTATTAGTTTGAAGACTTGTATTTTACACAATCAAGGTCTTCATCTGAGTGTGAAATGCAACGTCCTCTCATACCTTAAATGAAAGCTAAATTGGAAAGAAAAATAAAAATAGATCATTCTTCACATGAAATATAGTTTGATTCGATTACAGAAGCAAATAGGACCATATTGTATAATACAGAGACTACGCTATAGGAGCAGCGACAGTTCAACAGTTCAGTGTTTAAAGTCATAAGAAGTTTTTGATAGTGTATAAACTATGGAAACTACAAGCACTTAAAAAAAGGACCAAGTCTTACCACGTTATTAAACGTTACTTTTATAACTTCTTGTTTTCCCAACATCTACTATCCACAATTGACAATATAGAAAACAGAATACAAAGTCTTCCAACCCAACCTATTCAGTTTGCACCTAACCTGAGTTAAATTTAGTTACAAAGTTAGGTTATGGGGGCAACTTCATTAATTATATTCAGTTACCAATATGGGATTTTTCAGATAAGTCGAGCTATGATGGTTATTGCTAAAATGGTACCGTTATGGTCAGAGGAATAAAACAAAGTCATATAATGAATACAATTAAACTCAAGTTATATCATTTATAGACAAAGCATTTAAATTCACCTGATTGGAAAAGTAACTAGGATATACACCATTCCACAATGGTGGGTGCTGTGATGTCATTACTAGCCCTTTGAAAGGTGGATCACTCATCGTTGCATTTACATTGTGCTCCATCTGCAAAGTCAGAGAGGATGTTTAGTTTTAGCACCAAGACATGCGTGACATTTTTCATCATTATGTGCCTAAAATAAGCGAAAGTGTTCCAAAAATTAAAACGCATTAATTTTGTTTTGGCAGCTAGCAAAAACAAATGAACTACAGCAGAAGTACTCTTTTACTTTCAGAGATATTAAGAGAGGCAACAGGAAATATTAGTGTTTGAAGCCATCTGAAACCTTAAAACCTTCCATCCAAAAATTGAGGAAAACCTTGAAGATGGGGCATCTCAAGATAAAACTATCTACTGGAACTGATATATATCAAAATAATTTTAAGTACCCTCTTTCCATTGTGCCCATCATAAGGGCCGGAATGGAATTGAAGATGCCCCTCGACTTCCTTTTGACAATTGCCAAATGAAGGGGGAGATATCCCCAAATTCAGATCAAGATTGTGATCGCCATCTGCATCAGGAAGAAAAAAATATATAAACACAATTCTACGAAGACAAATTTATTGAAAATTTTCTAATTAGTAAACCACCTGCCTTGAAAACAGGAGATGCATTTGAACTACCTCAAAAGATAGTGATATTTGTGAAATCATACCTTCATTACCAGCCTCAGATATCATCTCCCCTTCATATGTGCTTGGCTCAAAGTTGGTGACTGCTTCCCTTCCATTACATTTGATTGCTGCCTTGTCATAAGCCCTAATTTCCAGAAAAATCAAAAGGGAGAGATGTGTTGGATGGAAGCCTAATGAGGTTGAGAATTCAGGGTAATAAATTCAGTCAGGTAGAGTGTAATTCATGACATTAGGACCTTGCAGCTTCTACTTCACTGTCGAATAGCCCAAGATATATATACCTGCATGCAAGCATTGTAACCTCCATGATGAAACGACCGTCCCCACAATTTTTTTTCTTTGAAATAGGCACTTGGACTTTTTTTTTTTCTTTTTTTTTACAAGGAAAAGAGAAGACAACGACTGATTGAGAATTAATCCGAAATTAATTCTCAGTTCAAATTGACAACCTCTGATCATATAAAGTCTAAACCGAAACCTACTGTAAGAAATTCAAAATTCCATAAAATAATTCCTCACTTTTTGCCAAGGAACTGCCCCATTCGAGCTTCCCATCGGCCACATTTGTGCAGCGTAACCCCTCTATATCTCGAGCTCCCCCTCGAGAAACCAGTGCTCTGCCTCCGTAGTATGTGCACAAATTCTTCCTTGGTCAAATTCTTCATCTGCTCATTCATTACAAATAGATCAAAATATGATTCCACTCAGCATATGAAATTAAGCAGACATAGGTTCATCAAGAAACAAGTGCATTATCCTACCTGTTTCAAATCCTCCTCATAATCACTGAGGTTGTAATTGATATCAGCATCAACTCCTCTGAACTTAATAGCAGCTCGATCGTAGGCTCTAAATTCAGCAAACTCAATTTAAGAATACTAATAAAAATACATACAGTAGCAACCACAATGACTAATTATCTAAATTCACAAACAGTACGAAATCCAAGCAAAAAAATATGAAGAAGGCTTTTTACCTAGCCGCAGCATGAGCAGTGTCAAATCCACCTATGTCAAACCCAACACTTAAATTTTCATCAAAAACTTTCCAAATAGAAAAGCATGACAAATAATTGCCTTAATAATTACTATAACTAAATCCAAGCTAATCAAATGGGAAAGGTCAAAAACACATACCCAAATACACTTGTTTCCCGCAATCCCTGCACCCAGCAAAAATTAAAAATAATTAGTAAATCGGATTAATACTATATGAAACAGATGCATTTGCATAATTGCAATTCAAACTCAACCCAAAAGAAACAACATTAAAATAAGCAAATCCAAGTAACGAAACATGAAACCCAATAGAACCATATTAAGGAAATCAAAATTGGACTAACCAAATATGAGATTCCCATCTACCAGTTCTTCTATAGAAGGTGACCCCTCTATACTGAGAGCTCCGAGACCTCGGCCCTCTTCTGCTCTTCTTCACCTGCTGTTGCTGTGGTGGCGGTGCGGCTGGTTGCTGTTGTTTCTGTTGAACCAACCTGACCTCTCCGGACCCGCCATGATCGAACCCAAGCTCCATCAAGTTCTTCCTCACCAAAGACGACGACGCTGACGACTGCCCCTGGCCGGGCCAATTGCTCAGGCCCCCGGTGACCGGGAACAGCTCCTTAGTCACGACGACATCGTCTTCTTCATCTTCTCCGCCCCTGACCTTGAGAATATCGAAGTTGAAGGTCGTGACGGCGTCGTATCTGGCGGCGCGTGTGGAGCACGAGTCGTCGTTGGTGCTGGATGCGTCGGCATTGACCACGGACGAGTTCGACGTCCCCGACTCGTCCATTTGGGTGCCACACGACTCGACGTCGTTTGGGCCAGAACCGACGACGTTCAGATTAAGATCCAGCATAGCTCAGCTCTCTTAATATAAATTTTAGTCCCTCTAAATTCAGCTCCGGTTCTAGACTTTTCAGCTCAGTCAGCTGACCGTCGATCGCCGGCTCTAATCGGACGGTGGAGATCGACCGAATCAGACACTAGTACAAAACACCGAGAAGCACATGATCGGAGCTCAAACTTGGAATTTTAAAAAGAGTTCAAACGGGTGCGTCGGCGATCGCCGGAGATAGTAAAAAAGAGAAAGGAAGTGGGAACGGCGTCGTTTGCCTAAGCTAATGAGTTAATAAATTGCATTACTGATATAGTCGGCGGCGATGGGAGGCTGAGAATGGAAACCTCAACGGCGTCGTTTAATATGTGTGTGTTGTGATGCCATAACCATAAACTAGGAGACTCATAGAGTCATGGAATATAATAGGCTTTCAGAGAGAGAGAGAGAGGTGATAGGACGCGTGAGGGAACATTTCAGACCCATTTTAAGCGGACGGGAATATATATTTAAACATTTCTCGTTCTCTCTCAACCGGTTTCGTCGGTCACCGGTCATTTTGGTATTGCCAAGAGATTTTTTTTTCTAGTTACCGGTGTCTCATACATGGGAACACCCGTCTATAAGTTTTTAACCACTACCCATTGACCGTTGCCGACTTCATGTATACGGTCAAATTATATAATTTAACATTTTACCATGTATCATTTTTGTTGGCAGCCATGGTTAAGTACTATTAGCATCCACTTATCGCGTGTCGCGTGTTCACTTAGACTAAGCGTCATGCTAATGTATGGGTAATATTGGTATTGTTTGCTTGGTTCACATTTGTTGCATATCTAACAGTTTAAGATTTTGGAGTTTAGTGGTTGTCTAATATGGTATTAGAGCTCTAATTTCTGAGAGTCTAAATTTAAAACCTCCTTCCGGTCTCAATTAATGTAATACGATTATGTCTACTAGTATTGTTTGGTATCCCTTCTGACATTGAGAAGATAATACAACTAGGTTAAAAAGTTTGTAATTTTTTTTTTTTTTTTTTTTTTTTTTTTTTTTTTTTTTTGGGTGGGGGTCTTTTAAACATTAAAATTAAAATTATATGATTATATTTATAACAAAAGTTTAAACATAATTAATATGTGTAGTCAAGATACATCATGATAAAAGGTAGGTTAGTCAAACTAAACTCCAATTTCACTGAGACTATTGGTGACATAAAAAAAACGTGGGCCAATTGGTTTTGGTGACGACGGTGAAACCACTAATGAAATTGAAAATCAATCAAATCTGTCTATTTTATAAGACATTTGATAAAATCTAGCAACAAGCCACTCAATTTTCCAACTTTTTTTTGCTCAAATAATGTCACTGAATTCCTTGCCATTTTCGTTTCAGATAATATTTAATATTATGTCTTTAACACAATTTATGCTCCGTTATCGTGCTTGTATTAAATTGCCGTTTTTTCCTCTCTTTTTTAATTTTGAATTTGAATTTTCATATTAATTTAGTATGAAAACATGGTTGGAAGCTTGGTGGAGTCAAGTAGGCAACGTCCATGGCTTTATCCTATTTTAGGTCACTTGTGGACAATTTTTTTGTTTGTTTATGGGTGTAATGCAAAATGTATGAGTCATTTATCATTTGAAATCCTATCTGGGCAATATTTATTTGATAATGGTCAACTCGATTGATACAGATACAATTTTTTTAGCAACCTAGGTTTTATAATCAATGTGCAACTTGCTTATTTAAGAAAGCTACTTGTGATGTAGGAAATATTATTTCCACGTTTGGTTTTGCCAAGTGGCATTGTTAAGGTAGCAAATGTCAATTGTTTCGACTCCGACAACACTAATAATATGTTGATTTAATTTGGTATGAAAATTACTCAAAAACTATTTTGGCTAGTCAATTTTAAAATGTTATGTCAACAACGTTAACAACATTTATCTCTATATTCGAGGTTGTGTGTTCCAATCTCTCTCTTCTAATATCGTTTGAATCAAAAGAGAAAATTATTTACCAACTAGCCTTTAGTTTAATGGTATTTATCTTTAGCTCGTTTAAGAAGATACGATATAAATTTATAATGAGTTCAATACCTAATTATATGCATATTCGTTCATTACACGAGTTATTGATCTGTTATAAAAATATCTCCTCTTGTTTGTAGGTTTTTTCTTTTAAAGAGAAAATTATGCTAATATTGTAGTTGGAGATCCCGTAACATTTTTTCTTTCAAAACTATCGATGTGATTTACTTCGAAGAAAGGATAATATTCCAATACCATCGCCACCTGGCATCCTCTCCTTTCAGGATCACTTGATTTTGAGCTTAAGTTTTACACGTGGAACAAAATGACGGGTCAAATAATGGGGTGGGCCCATACGTGAGGACAAGGGAAATCTTTGCCATATTTATTTCAATCAAATCATAATCTTGCCCGTTTTCCAATGGACCCTACCTTTTTCGACTCCTCTGTTACTTTCTCCATTTAGGTAAAAATACGATGAATGTCTCTCCATCTCGTATGTACCGCGCTAAATACGAATTTTACCAAATTACGGCAGTAAAAAATTATTCGGCCTGCTTAAACATGGTGACCGAAGGATCCAACGGTTGGGATTAATTCGTATTGGCTGCGTCAGCGCTTATCAATGCTGGGAATTCCAAATGTATCCTCTGCCGCTCAATACCCAACCATGAAGTACACGTGCATTATGAGTGTGATGAGTTCTTTGTGCTTAATTACAAAAATACCATTCTTGTTATTACTGCGTACCTAATTGGGCCATGCTATGGTGCTATAGTGGACCAGAAATGCAAGATTGCACACGGAACGTGTGTCTTCTGTTCACAAGTAGTTACTGTCACTCTGAAAAAGTTGTAAATTTAAACGAGACGTGTCAAATATGATCACTTTACAAGTAGGTTTGTAAATGAGCTCCGACCCGGCTCGATTTTAAAAACATATAGACTCGATCCGATCTAAAAATTCGACTGATCATTAACAACTAGATCCATATTTGATTTGTTGAATTATCTGATAACCCGATGAATAAACAAAAAATTAATATTTTAATTCTCGTAGATGACAATGAATTCACCCTTGTTTTCGTTCATGTAGTACGTACCCTAACACTAAAAGGGCAGGTAAACTAAAGTGACCTAAAGAGTGAACAGCCGACATTTTGTTTACCTAACCCGAGTCATGAGTTTTGCCGACAAAGCAAAGAAAAGAAGAAAGAAAAGAAGATTGTTGGCTTACTCACACTCACCAAAAGTCGAGCAAAATGATATAATAATTGGAAGATTCTTAGGACAAGAAATAACCACGTTGCTGAAGAAAATATATTAGTCGTCGCAAATACTCATCTTCATTTTCCTTTCTATGAAACCCCGAGAATCCTTGGCAAACGGGAAACATCAAATCTAGAAAATTTCAAACCTGTCTCTAGGGTTTCATTCAAATTCAACAAAGAAATAAATGATGTTCTTGCTTTCCCTTTTCGCCTTTTGCAAGATTCAATTAAAAAGAAGGAGAGATTCAAAGTGCATGTGGTGTGTGTGAACATAGCTTTAGCCTCATTTTACTTCAACCAACAAAGATTTTCCCCCATTCTTCTATGACTCCATGACCAGAAAAATGCGTTGCATGCTGCCGATGCTGATCCATCAAACGCAAAACACGTGCATTAAACTTTTGTTTGGTATAATATCATATCGTTTTCCATCATATTCGTATGATTTTGTATGAACCAGATTTGTTCGCACCTCACAGTGCCAGTGAAAAATCTGGTTTGAAGAAAGACACGAGAGAACTTATCCGTTTGCACCTTATCAATTCTTTTGTTCTTCTCTGCTCATGGGTTAGGATTCTCACGCGTACAATAACAACTAATTAAACATATGCGCGATAGAAAAGTCTTTTGATAAATACAATCGTAATATTGAATGCATGACTTATAGGAAAATAAATTTTGAGCTCAAGTGGCGGGTTGCAAGGGATTTGTAACTCAAGTGGTTAAGAACATTTATCCTTGCACCCGATGTCCTAAGTTCGATTCCCGTCCTGATATATATATATAGGCTGGTTTTAGAATCTCCTAATCCACAATTATAATTTTTGTGAACTAAAAGCCTGTCCAAACTCTATTCTTGGATTCCTTGGCTATTATGGAATCTAGTTGAAAATAATCTATCGTCGTTCACTTTGCTTATCTTTTTTTCAGATTCTGTGCAATGCTTTAGTTAAGTATATACGTATTGCTTCATTGTGAAACTTAATTAGGGTGCAATTTCTCATCAAATTATTCTGTTTTAGCAACTAGAAAAAAGAAGAAGATAATTATGAACTCCCACAAAGTTAACAATGGTAGTGGATGAAACAAGGATTAGCTTGCCCAAGTGGAAATCATAATTTCTTCCCAATAATGAAAAGAAAAACATTTCAACAAGTCTTATGGCTTATTGGTGATGTGGACATCCAGCACATGAGCAAAATCAATGGGAAGAAAAATCTTGTTGATGCCTTCACACAAATTTATGGGTTTGGTAGGTCTATGTTTAGTAACTTGTGTGGAAAAAACCATATATATATATATATATATTTCTATAAATTTAGGATTATTATTATTATTATTATTATTATTATTATTATTTTTGGTGGTCAATTCTATAAAGGATTAGTTAGAGAAATCAATATGTCGATTACAAATCATAAGGCTCATGCATAAATTAAAGTCTTTCCACCACATAAAGTCAATAAAACAAAGAAACAAAAATAGATCCATAATGTTTAATACAAATTACAAAGGTTTCATGTTCGATCATACAAAGATCTCATGTTCAAATCTCATGACATCATTTGTGTGTCTGTGTGTGAAAAATCTTCCTCTGTCTGGTTTAGATTATTGTCTGCACTAAAAATAACAAATTCCAAAAACTTGTTTTCTTTTCTCTTTTATTTTTCGAAAATGAAAGAGAAGAAAAACCAAAACAAAAGACTGGTGAATCA